GAGTCTTAAAACAGTCTTGGTCTATGTCAGGTTTAAGATCTTGAACAAACGGCAATTTTAAAACACTTTAAAGACGATTTTTTTTACACGGGTACTTTTTTAATAAAACATAATATTTTATAATTTAGCATTTTATTGTACTTTTTACCTTGTTTTACTAGTTTTATCCTTAAAATTAAAAAAATTTATAAAATTTTAATTAAAAAAAAAAAACATTTACTCAGAATCGATTATTTAAAAGAATCGATTCTTGAAATTGATTAATCGATTCTGAGAATCGAAATTTCTGAAAAAAGAATCGGAATCGAGAATCGATTCTTCAGCTTATGTTTCCATCACTTCTACAGCACTAGAGCGCATAATGCGGCATTGTGCGCAGCTTAGAGTGTTCCAATAACAGCAACTCTTCGCACAGTTGGACACTCAAAAAACCTTTGCTCAGGGATGTTTTGCGTGAGAGTTACCAACGAGTCTACATAAAATTAAAAGTATTTTTTTTTGTATTGAGTTGGTATAATTAATGTTTATTTTATTATCTATCAAAGTTATTATTTTTGACAATTGTAAGTGTATTTTATTATTGTTGATAAATAATTATTATTGCAATAAAATTAAATATATACAATAACACAAATTATATTTAACTATCATATTTTTATATCTAATATTTAATTATTGATGACTAACTTAAGCGAATTTATATTCTTTCTATTCTTTTATCTTTATAAAATGAAATCATTTTTTAGATTTTTATATTTGTAAGCATTGTCATGATATGATTTTGAATTAGCTGTTTAACATGAATGTTTTCAAAGATTTTAAAGATTTAAATATACAGGTAAACAAATATTTAGATTTTTAGATTGCCAAACTTTCGAATTTTTGTTCAAAACGAAGCAATACCAACGCGATCTACTGCTGCATTTCTTAACTAATCTGTTTCAATTAAACTTGTGCTAATGCGGCACCGTGCGGCAATGAGTCGCATTGTGCTCTCGTAATTGGAAAACTACCATAGTTTTTAATTTCAGTTAGCGACAACGAAACAATGCAATTTGTTGTACCATATCGCTTTTACATTTTTTATAAAGTTAATGATTATACAACGTACCTGCTGACATACATTTCTCAAGGGCCTCCCTTTTTTATAATTAGCACCGGACACATCACGTCTGAAGGCTTTTTAATAGTATTTGCGTTCCATTTGTGTGGAAGATTAGCCATTTTAGTCGAAAGGATAAACGGACTGAAAAATGAACCCAATATCAGCAAAATTAAACTTAGTAAAATAATTTCAGAACACGCGAGATTATTGAAGTATGAAATGATAGATAAATTATGTAAATAAAAATTAAAAATAATAATATTGAAATTTTTAATAGAATGGGCGAAAATATTCGCGGAGCTTTTGCAACAGCATTATTGGCGTATTTATTAAACGGAATGATTTTGCTGTGCTTGATCGGATATCAAATCCTTGTTGTAAGTGACAGTACTCTTAAGTTAAGGGGACCCTTAACCCGGTGGTCTAGCGGCTTAAAATTTAAGCTATTTTAAAAAAGTTTGGAAAATCCAAAAGTCCACGCCTCATAGCAGTCATTCATTTTTTAAGAAAAAAATAAATTGTGTAATTGATTAAAAAAAAAAAAATTATAATTAAGTAATTTCTTAGAGAGTATTTTTTTTTTTTTTTAAATACCAGCTCCCTTCTTTCTTGTCATATGCGCACGCAGTCTAAAAAAATCTAGCTTGATCAAGTGGCGCACGTGACAAATAAGAAAAATTATTTTGTCCTTGTACGGTTGTATCGTAGTGAATTTTAATAAAAATTTAATTTAAAAAAAAAAATACGTAAACTAAACTACTGATATGAAATACAGACCCAGTTCATCGCATTCTTAAACTAATAGAAAAGGGCCGTATAAGTGTAATATGATTGTGATAGAGGCATTTAAAGATCACAAAATTGCTTGACTTTGACGAATCGAGTATAAAGCACAACCTCACGCGCTTCGCGCTATGAGGCGTGCAAAATTTTATTTCTTTATGAAAGTAATGACTAATGCTTTCAAATTTTTTCTACACTTATTCTATTACTTATCAACTACACAAAAATAAAAATTAGGACAAAAAAAAAAATTTTTTTTAATTAGTATAAGTATAGTTATCGCAGGAACTAGAATGAAAAAAAAAAAATATTTGACAAAATGGCGCGTGGTTAAAAATACGAATCTGAAACTCGTTTTCAGAAAATACAAAATTTTCATTTTTGTGTAGTTGATAATTAATAGAATAAGTGTAAAAAAAATTTGAAAACATTAGTCAGTACCTTCATATAGAAATAAAATTTTTGTAAATTTTATTTCTAGCTTAAATTTTAGGCCGCTAGACTACCGGGTCCTCTTAAACTAATATAAAACTATTTATTTTTGAGTGTAAAAAAATAAAATTTACCATCAGAACATTATGACAGGACCTAATTCTGATCTGATGCTTCACTTTACATTCATCTTCGCGACGTATTTTATAATAACAACATTTTGCATCGTCAGTGAACAACTCATTGAAGAGGTGAGCTTTAGTAAACTGTTTTATGTTATTATTTTTGTTTTAAATTGTAAATAATTTTTTTAAACTCACTAATTTATGCAGAGTAACAGTGTTTGCGAAGCTTTTTGGAATACAGAGTGGTACAATATGCCTCGAGAGTGTATTTACGACATAATATACTGCATAAACAGAAGCCAAAAGCCTCTTGCGCTGCAAGCTGGAAAATTTTCATACTTTGACAGTACCACACTGACCGAGGTGACCAAAACATCGATGGGTTACTTGTCAGTGTTGAGAAATTTTTTAACCGTCGATTGAATTCTTTGATACAGCGTTGTTTGCTAGAAAAATAAAGTTATTTTAAAAAATTTATGACTAATCAGTCAGTTTGTTTTATTTCAGCTAATTTCTTGTTCAAGTTTTTTTTTGTAACATTTTTTTTTAAATATTGTCCAAAATTTCCACATTCATACTCTTTGTTGGATATTGTTATATATTGTTATGCCTCTGTAGATTTTTCTTATTCTTTTAACGGTATATCTTTCAAAATTGCTGACGGTGATATTCATACGCCAGCGTTTGGGCAGAGCACACCATGTTACTTTTTTATTTTTTTTTTGATAAGTTTAGTTATTTCATACAAACAATCTTGTAATTATAAGCTAAACAACCTAAATAAAAAACTTTTTAAAACTATTTGAATTTTAAAGGTAAGCATTGACTGGTGTTATCAGCTCTCGGCTCCTTACTGTCTTGGTTTATTAATATTTAGAGCTTTGTTTGACGTGACGTAATAATACTTAAAACTGCAATGTATCTTCTTTAACACCTTTTTAGTCAGTTATAACTGTATATATACTGTATACAGAATGGTATTGATAGAATACACTACAAAATTGTACACAGTAAAAAATTTTGCGTCAATGCGTCAAAAAATTTTGTGTTAAATATTTAACACTTTTTTGTGTTAACTTAATACAATAAATGTTGAATTTACACATAAAAGTGTTAAATAATTAACACAAAATTTTTTGACGCAATGACGCAAAATTTTTTACTGTGTAATAGATGAAATAACTACGGATTGTTATGCGTCCCCAATTACAGAAAACATTGAAGAATAAATTACAGAATTGTATTTAAACATCTTATTTTAATTTATGTTGTAAAATAAATTCTAACAATTTAGTTAGAATTTAACAGTTAATAATTATAGTTTGTCAGTTGAAGTGCAAACTTTACGTTATCAAATAAATTACGTTATTAAATGTGACTATAGCTTAGACAGTAAAATTTTTTGTCAGTCATTTAGAAGAAAATTGAACCTTTCTTCCAAGGGATAACAATATCTTCACTAAAATAAGCTTTAAATAAACTTATGATGTAAAATATTGCTCAGAAAACTTACGACATAAAACTGAAGTTCATCCTGCGGAACTGAAATTACAGGAATATATTAAAGAAGATGATAGCACTGCGCAGGAACAGTTTTATAATAATTTAAGCTATCAAAAGTTTTTAATAACACAATTACAGGTATAGTAACGTCTCCCTATAATATTTACCTCGATAATGTCCACGAGCTTCCTCCGTCATTTTTCTGAAAACCTTTGAGCTATCAATATGAAAAAGTTTTCACAAGTAAGTATTGTTAAAGTACCAAATTTTTCAATATTTAGTAAATTGTAAGAGTTTTCAAGTTTTAATTTTTTGGTAGAATCGGAGATTACATCCGAGATGCATATGCTACGGCGTTGTTTGCCTATTTAATCAACGGTACAATTCTCATGAGCATGATTGGGTACCAAATACTTCTAGTAAGTAAAAATGGTTAGTTAGATTTTGAAAGTTGCTTTTTACTCAATTTTTTATATGGATTTTTTGTTAGAGTTTTATGACAGCGCCTGATTCTAATTTGACGGTATACTTTTTGTTTATATTTACGATGTATTTTATAATCGCTGCTTTTTGTATTGTCAGTGAACAACTCAGAAACAACACAGAAGCGGTAAGCTAATCATAATTATAAGATTAAAATGTTAAACTTTTATTAAAAAGAAAAATTGCACTTGATTGAAATAAATTATTTCTTAGAGTTTTTCTCTTCAAAAGACATCAAGATTTTTTTAGCCAAAAAAAAACTTGAAACAATTTTTTATTTCTTCAATTTGAGAAATTTTTTTTTTTTTTAAATTAAGACCTGTAATTTTTTTTGAATAAATAATTTTAAATGTAAAATATAATAAAAATTATCTGATAAAAAATTGAAAAACTTACAGTGATTTCTTCTTTTAATTAGAATAACAAAGTTAAAGAAGCTTTTTGGAATTGCGAGTGGTATCTAATGGATCGAAAGTGTATTTACGACATAACATACTGCATATCTAGAAGCCAAAAACCACTTGCGCTGCAAGCTGGAAAATTTTTATATTTTAGTAACAACACATTGACAGATGTCACTAAAACATCACTTGGATATTTATCAATACTGAGAAATTTTTTAATTGTAAATTAAGGTCAACATTACCATTATTGCATGAATTATATTATTATGAAATATAAACATAAATAATAAAAATGAAAAATTATTAAAAAAAAAAAAATTACATCTTCCTGTCATTTCCTAACACCTTAAAAAAATAAATAAAGTACTTCAAAATTTTTATTTTATTTACGCAATATTTAATTCAAAATAAAATTAACGAAAATTTCTTCTTTTGTCTCAAAACAAAAATTATCCAACACAATTGTAAATCAATGAAATAAATATGGAATATTGATGAAGTATAAACTTACATGTTTGTTGGAGGAAGAGTAAGTTGTGTTTGAAATTCAGAGCGCATCACGGACGCCATTGTTACGGGGTTTCTCGGAAGCTACTGTCTGCATATTATATTAGTTATACAAAGCCATATAATTGAGTTAAATTGTTGTTTACATATAATAGCTTTCCCATTTTCTCTTGCACTTTGAAAGTAAAGTTTACTTCGAAAGTTGCGCAATGCATTTCCCACTATTTTTACATTATCCGTCAAACAAAATAGACATGGAAATATACACCTGTGTAAGTGTAATTTACGATATAAAAAAATTATTTAATAATTTAAAAAAAATCATTGAAGTTTATGACTAACAATTTTAGGATCAGCGAGAATTGGACAATGGTGTAAAAGCGTTTGCTTGGATAAAATTTATGTCCAAGTGCATCGGAGTTTGGCCACTAAAGCCGAATTATCATCTCTCGAACTTAATTTTTCTATATTTCACCTACGCAATGTTCACCGAGTACGTTAATTTATTTTTCTGCCTTCCGAATCTGAAGAAAGTAATCGGCAATCTCACCGAAACACTGTCTTTTACGCATATTTACGTTCGTACAGTGATACTGAGAGTGTACATCAAGACTTTGGGCGAAGTAATGTCTGAGTCTTTGAAGGATTATCATGAATGCGCGTATAAAACTTCCGAGGAAGTTTACGAGCTCATGACTTTTATGAAAAAAGGCAAATTGTTCATAAAGTGTGCCTCGATTTTCTCATTCTGGACCATCAGCTCTTGGTTCCTGCGGCCTATAACTTCGGGGTTAGCTTCACCACCGCGTAAGTTAGTCAGAGTACACGCACTGATAGAAGGATTTATTTGTATTAAAAAATACTTGTTAATAGTTAACAAATCATTTATTAGAGACCACTTTTTAGTATTAAACAAATATTTCTTAGTATTTAAAATGATTTGTTAGTATTTAATAAATCTGATATTCATTTATTAAATATTAATAAATCTTTAAATACTAAGAAATATTTGTTAAGGACTAAAAAGTGGTCTCTAATAAATGATTTGTTAAATATTACCAAATATTTTTAATTATAAACAAATCCTTCTATCAGTGCACAGTAAAAAATTTTGCGTCCAAAAATTTTATGTTAAAAATTTTTATGTTGAATATTTAACACTTTTTTGTGTTAATTTAACAGAATATGTGTTAAATATTTAATACTAAGTTTTTTGACGCAATAACGCAAAATTTTTTACTGTGTATCATCTGCTGATCCAAAATAAATTTATCTTCTCTTTTTAGAAGGAAATTCCACATTCAATATCGCTGCATACCCTTTGCCGTACAAATTTCATGTTTTTTATGAGATAAATAGTTACAGAACTTATGTGTTAACTTACATTTCGTGGAGTCCCTTTGCTTTTATCATCGGGTTCGGTCACGTGACATCAGGATGCTTCTTGATAATATTGACATTTCACGTCAGTGGAAAACTCGCTGTTTTGGCTACAAGGATCGATGCCCTGAAGTATAAAAGTGAAGGCATCAGAAAAGAACTCAATGAAATTATTTTTGAGCATAGCAGATTACTCAAGTACGTACATCTGATTATACATTAAAACTTTTTCATTGAACTTGAAGTTTGTATATTACAGAATGGGGGAGGGAATAAAACGTGCTTACGCTCCGTCGTTATTAATATACTTTATGAACGGAAGTATATTGTTGACGTTTATTGGATACAAAATACTCGTTGTAAGTGAGCTCTGGATAAAAAATCTGCCATTTGTTGAAATCTTTCATTTTTCAGTCCTGGACTGTCAGAGACAACAAAAATTTGACTCCGTACTACATTTTTATCAGTACGGTATATCTTGCCATGTGCGTTTTTTGTACGCTCAGTGAAAATCTAATAGCGCAAGTAATAATATAAATTATTTTTAATATAATATACTGTACATAGATAATTATGATTATTGATTACTATATAATAAATACCTTTTATTTCTAAAGTCAAAAAAAGTTTCCAATGCATTTTGGAATTGTCAGTGGTACAACATGCCCCATGATTGCGCTAAAGATATTATTTTTTGTATCAAGCGATCACAAAAACCACTTTGTTTAACTGCTGGTTCATTTGTTACTCTTGGAAGCAGTACTCTAACTGATGTGAGATTTTAAAAATAAATAATCACTTGTCACAATATGAATAATTGGAAAGAGCGCATATTATTCATTTTACATTTCTTCTTTTCAATGTTTTAATTATTAATAAATAAATCTTTTACAGGTCACCAAAACAAGTATGGGATACTTGTCCGTCTTACGAAGCTTCATGGTTTCAGAACAATCTGCTTAAACTAAAAAAAAAAAAAAAAAAAATTGACTTAATAAGATCAATATATTAATATTAAAATATTTTTGGATAAAAATTCAAGATTCTTCACCCTTGTAGTTGTAATTTTTTCATTATCACACCACGAATTTGTGTTTTGCACAAGCTTATTTATTATCTAAGAATTATAAATTATATGTCAGTACTTTAAAACAAGTTAGTGTTAATATTTAACATTTTTATATACAACACATCGTTATTTCGGTGAAAATTTTTACTAAATGTCATTTTGTAACTTTAGTCAGTAAAAATAATTTTTACAACTTATTTATGTCCCTAGAAACTTTGATGAATAAATAAATCATTTGTAACAAATCAGGATAGTTATTATTTTAAATAATTATGAAAACTGCAGTTATAGCTGACAACTGTTAATATTTTATATTTTCATAACAATAAAAAAAATGACACTTGACAATTAACAATACTAAATGAGATAAAGTTAGCCGACATCTAAAAATTTTTAGAATTTTTTTTATTGAAAAAATTATTACAAAAAAAAATTTTTTTAAATTTCACTTGTGAAAAATTTGAAAAACTGTAAGTGCAATTTAAAAAAATTATATTTTAATTCTAATTTAATAAGTTAAGCAAAACTAAAAAAATAAAAAATGTCGGCTAACTTCATTAATATTAATACTAAAGTTAAGCGACGTCTTTAATTTTTTGATTTTTTTTTTAATCATTTAATTAGAACTAAAAAATATTTTTTAAAAATTGTACGTGTAGTTTTAAAAATTTTTTTGATAACAAAAATTGTAAAAATTTTTAAATGTCGGCTAACTTAATTTTCATTGAGAATTATTTGATTTTTTTTTAAAAAATAAAAGAGATTTAGAAAATTATTAAAAAAAAATTACCTTTATAATTTTTCAGATCTCTTAAAGTTGGAATTTTTTAAATAAATTTTTCTTGCTCTGATTTATTAGTTAAAAAATTTCCAAAAATTCTCAGATGTCACTCAATTTCAGTATCATTAAAAAAAAAAGCTTTAAAAAATTTTCCACTAATAATTTTTTTAATTTTCACACAGAATTTTTTAATTAAATATTTTTTCATAATAATTTAATCGTTAAAAAATTATAAAAAATTTTTAATGTGATTTTTCTTCAGTGTCATTAAGATTAGATGTTTATCCGAGGAAAACTATCGATGTATTGATAAAAATATCTTAGCTTTGAAGAAGTTTAATTCTTCGAACCATAGAGGGCACCACAGTAGCAACCCCCGAAGTAATTTTTTGTATTAAAAATTTATAATGCGATTATAAACTAAAATTGTTGTTTGCAAAACAGTTTTCTCATCCCTCCTCGCTCTTCGAAAGTAAAGTTTACTTCGAAAGTTGTCATAATGTATTTGTCTCCACTTTTCCGGTGGTAATCAAACGAAACAGCCATGGAATACAGTCGCGTAAGCAACTTCACATCATTATTAGTTTATAACAGGAAGAAATAATAAAATAAAAATTTCAGGACCAGCGTGACCTCGACAAGGGTGTCAGAGTGTTTACTTGGGCGCGCATAATGTCAAAATGCATCGGAGTGTGGCCATTAGACCCCAATTATTATCTCTTCAATCTAAGTTTTTTATATTTTACGTACATAATGTTTACCGAGTACGTTAATTTGTTTTACTGCCTTCCAAATTTAAAAAAAGTCGTCAACAATCTCACCGAAAATCTGGCTTTCACGCATATTTACGTTAGAACTTTGATGCTAAGAGTTCACATTGAAAAATTACGTGAAATTATTTCTGAATCTTTGAAGGATTATCATGTCAGTGCGTATAAAAATTCTGAAGAAGTTTACCTGTTTATGAGTTACATGAAGAAAGGTAAATTTTTTGTTAAATATGCTACAATTTTCGTCGCTATGACCGTCACTTCATGGTTCATCCGTCCGATAACATCATCTTCAGCTCAAGCACCTCGTAAGTCAATCTAAAATTATCAATTATAATGAAAATTAATTTAACAGACATTTGATAATTTTTTTAACACATAAATGATGGCAAAAAATAAGAAATAAAAATTGACACTTTAAAATTAAAAATTCAATTTTTGAAAAATAATTTTTTGGAAAAAAAATTTTTTTATTAAATAAAATTAAAAAAAAAGACCATTCGGCAGCCAAAATGGAAATAGATTTCATAATGAATAGAAAAAAAAAAAAACTACTAGGATTGTAAGGAAAAAAAAAAAAACACCAGTGCAACAGCAAATTTCATAATTAGCATAGCGGAATAGGACATAATTTTGAGATTCGACACAGTGTATGGTACTCAAATTGTTGCTTATTTAAAAGTTATTGCACAGAGGACCAAAAATAGTAGAATTGTTTCGCGACTTTTGAAATTTTTAATCTGCTCTTCTTCCCGATCTAATTGATTGAGGGCTATAAATAAGCATGGAAATTGAAGGTTATTAAATAAGCTTTAAGATGCAATTTACAAAAATATCAAAAGTTATCGCATTCAAAAATTATTACAAGGAGAACCAAAAAAAGTTGAATTTTTCGAAATTTTGAATCAGCTCGTATTTCTAAAATAACCGACCGATTCAGCTCATCTTCGAAATTAACCTCGTATCGGTAATTATCCATAGAATATAGACGCGAAGTTTGATGGAGATCCGTTAAAAATCGTGAGAGTTAGAGTAGAGACAAGACCGGTTATATCGTACATATATAAACTTTTGAACCATATACATTTATTTTCTGACTCAGATCGACGAGCTGAGTAAAGATGTCCAAAAATTTTTTGAAAATTTTGACATGAAGACCAATGCAATAGTTAGATTTCTATGAAATCTACTAAAAAATGGTCAAGTGACTGCTAACTTTAATTTCATTAATTATAGTTATAATGATAATTATGAAATTTTTTTTTCTACAGCATCAGACAATTCAACAATCACAAAATTTACTTACGTTTTGCCTTACAAATTCCACGTTTTCTACCCAATCAACAGCTACCGTTCTTATGTTCTGACTTACATCTCGCATGGTCCATTCGCTTTTATCAGCGGATTGGGCCACGTTACTTCAGGATGTTTTCTAATAATGCTTTCGTTCCACGTAAGCGGAAGGCTAGCCGTTTTGGCGACGAGGATCGATGCCCTGAAATACAGAAAAGAAGGACATAGAAAAGAGCTTAATGAAATTATTTTTGAGCACAGCCGATTACTGAAGTGCGTACATTTTAATATTATACATTAAAACTTTTTTATTGTAGTTAAAGTTTTTACTTCACAGTATGGGCGAGGGGATAAAAAAGGCATATGCTACATCATTATTGATATACTTGATGAACGGAAGTATATTAATCTGCATTATTGGTTACCAAATATTGCTAGTAAGCATTTTTGCAAAATTTTTGGTGATAATTGATATACATTTAAATTTTCTGATACTTTTAGATCTTTACTCTAGGGATCAAGAAAAATTTGACGCCTTTCTTTGTTTTTATAATGACGGTGTATCTTGTAATAACTATTTTTTGTATATTGAGTGAACATCTCATTGCAGAGGTTTGTTTTTTTATAAATTTGTTCAACCTTGTGAGACTATTTGTAAATTTTTTACGATCCGATCTTCACTAAAAAAACAAAAAAAAATTTTTCATTACTGTTTCAAGTCGAAGAAAGTTTCAAATGCATTTTGGAATTGTCAGTGGTATAATATGGACCAAGATTGTACAAAAGATATTATTTTTTGTATCAAACGCTCGCAAAAACCGCTCTGTCTCCGTGCTGGAGCTTTTGTTACATTCGGTAACAACACATTAACAGAAGTGAGCTTTTGAATAGCTTCATAACAATTTAAAATTTAATTTATAATTATTAACTTTTTGTTGTTTAAGGTGACAAAGACGGCCATGGGATACTTGAGTGTTCTGAGAAATTTTTTACTTGCAGAACAATCTTGAAAAGAAGAAAACTATAAATTAATATTTATTTTCATACACAATGTTATTAATAAAAATTTATTTTATCATCTAAAATTACCTTCTTTCAAATTTTATATTCCATTTTTTCTCAGATAACAGAATTATAATTGTTACAATTTTCATTCATTGAAAAATGTTTAAGGTAGTTTGGGACATACAGTTTGTGGTATTTCTTCCCTTTACTAATGGTTATTTTTGCCTAACTAGCTTTATTAACAATTTATAAAAAACTACATGATAAAAATTTTCAAAATTTCTTTGGATTATTATAAGTATATTATTCTAACAGGTATCAGTTTTTTGAAACGATCTTAAAATTCTTTCAATGCAATAACCATTAATATTTGTGATTTTCTCACTCTCCACCCAGTTATCTGTGCTAAAATATCATTTTTAATTACAATTATCTCATTTCTGGTATGGTTAATTGATTTAAAATTTCAACAGCACATGTAATGCGTATTCTATTACCCAGACTGAAAAAAAAATTAAATTGAATCAAAAGAAAAATTCTTAAACCAAGAAAATAATTTTGAAGAGTGTCATTGTCTTCAATCAAGACGAAAAATTTTTGAATTAAATAAAATTCACTTAAACCAAGAAAAATTACTTAGTCAAAATTATTTACTTGATTCAAGTAAATTTTTTTTTCAAATTTCAAAAAATTTTTAAAATTTTGCATTTTCGACCAAACTATCTTGAATAACGCACTACAAAAGAAGTAATATCGATTTATAAAGAAAAAAACTGTCTAGTATGATCAAATGTCTAAAGATTACTGGAATATTCTTCCACAAATGCAACGTTATTACTTCCTAAGAGAAGTACTACGTTAAACTGCTAAGAATATCCCAGCTTAGAGCCCAAGTGAATTAAATTTCCATAAAAAATGTATAATGCGATTACAAACTGAAATTGCATAAATTGTTGTTTGCAAAACAGTTTTCTCATCCCCTCTCTTACTTAAAAGTAAAGTTTACTTCGGAAGTTATCACATTATATTTGTCTCCACTTTTCCGCTGATAATCAAGCAAATCAGTCATGGAACTGCACAGTCGCGTAAGTATCTTCAATTTTCCATAAACTTTCCCTAGCAACAAGAAGAAATAATGAAAAAAATATTCCTATAATTATAAAAAAAACTTCAGGATCAGCGTGACCTGGACAAGGGAGCCAGGGTGTTTAACTGGGCGCGAATAATGTCAAAATGCATCGGAGTGTGGCCATTAGAGCCTAATTATTATCTCTTCAACATATGTTTTGTATACTTTACCTATATCATGATTACCGAGTTGATAAATTTATTCTACTGCCTCCCAAATCTCAAGAGAGTTATCAACAATCTCACCGAAAGTTTAGCGTTTACGCACATGTACGTACGGACTTTGATGTTGAGAGTTCACATTAAAAAGTTAGGTGAAATTATTTCTGAATGTCTGAAGGATTATCACGTAAGTGCGTTTAGAAATTCTGAAGAAGTACAAGAATTTCTGATGTACGTCAAAAAAGGTAAATTTTTCGTGAAAGCTGCTGCTATTTTTGTCATTTCTACCGCAGCTTCATGGTTCATACGTCCCATAACTTCTCCATCGCCACCACGTGAGTTATTCTACAAAAAAATTTATAAAAATTAATTTAATTTTCTCATACTTTCTTCACCGCGCTTGATTAATTTACAGCAAACAACGAAACGAGTTTTACATACGTTTTACCTTACAAATTCCATGTTTTTTACAAAATAAGTGACTATCGTACCTACGTTCTGACATATGTCTCCCATAGTCCATTCGCGGTGATCAGTGGTGTCGGTGCTGTTACTTCAGCATGGCTATTAATCATACTTTCATTTCACGTTACCGGAAAACTCTCAGTTTTAGCGAACAGGATTCATGCTTTGAAGTATAAAGGCGTGAGATTCAGAAGTGATCTCAATGAAATTATTTCGGAACACTCTAGACTTTTGGCGTAGGTACTCATCAATTCTTCTTCCTCTACAGGATTTATTAATTGATTAAATTTAATTATTTAGAATGGGAGAAGGAATAAAAAGTTCGTATGCCATAGCCCTGTTAATTTACTTTATCAACGGCACGATACTACTGACAATCATTGGCTACCAAATTCTTGTGGTATGTATTAAAAATAAAAATTTGATATCAGTCTATAAAGTATTTCTTCTTTAATTTTTATCAGACGCTTATTTCGGGTGTGAGTCATAATTTGATGCCGTACTTTGTTTTTATATTGACTGTCTATCTGGTGATAAGCATCTTCTGCATCCTCAGTGAACATCTTTTAGCTCAGGTACAAGTTTTTTATTTTTTATTTATTTAATTTATCAAACTTGGTTTTATTTTTTCAGAGTAATAATGTTCGCGACGCATTTTGGATTTGCGGCTGGTATGACCATCCGGATTGTATGAAAGATATTGCATTTTGCATTAATCGTAGCCAAAAACCTTTGGGATTGACCGCCGGCAATTTTTTGACGTTCAGTAACAGCACTTTAACCGACGTCACAAAAACTGCGATGGGATATCTTTCTATTTTAAGGAACTTTTTGCTCAGCGAATGATTTTGAGCTTTAAAGTTAAATTGTTCAATATTGTTATAGTATAACTGAATAAAAGTTTATAATTAATATATATTTTTAGTTCATTTACTGCAATATCAAAAATTATAGAAATTTTTAATTTAAAGAATTGAAAGTAAAATTTTTTTAATTTATCTCTTTTAATTGTATTGAAGATTCACATCATTAAAATTGCTTAGGAAATAATTTTGGTAATTATTTATAAGTGGGGTCTACCTTATTTTTGGCATCATTTAGGTGAAAAATTAACATTTTCAAATTTTTTTTTGATTCTGCTTGTTTTTACAACGCATTTATGATAAAAAATGTCGTGAAAGAAAAAAAGAAAGATTTCGATAGCTTTTTTGCCTTCAAAAGTTGGAAAAAATTTTGTCTCATGTTTTTGGATAAAATTTATAAATTTTTTAAAAAATTGTGATATTCAAATTTTTTTTTTTAAATTATTCGCTTTTTTATGTATAAAAAGAAAAAATAAAATAGAAATTTTATCCAAAAATATGAGAGCCAAAATTTTTTCCAACTTTTGAAGGCAAAAAAGCTATCGAAATCTTTCTTTTTTTCTTTCACGACATTTTTTATCATAAATGCGGCGTAAAAACAAGCAGAATCAAAAAAAAAATTTGAAAATGTTAATTTTTCACCTAGTTGCCCAAAATGGGGTTGACTTCACTCGTAAATAATTACCTTAATTTTTTCTTTAGTTTGACAATTTATTACTTCCCTCATATTTTTTAACATTACGGTAAATATACTTCAGATTATTTTCTGCAAAAAAAAAAAACATTTTATTATTCTATCTAAATTTAGAAGTTACCCACAGAGAATATTATTTACAACTGCCTGGAAAACTGCTCCGGCTGAACAAAAGTAAAATTACCCTGCATAAATTATGTATAATAAAATGAAGAAAAACTGCATTAAATTACCGTAGACATTAAAGTAATCGATCCCCCTTATTATCTTCAGAAGTAAAGTTTACTTCGTACTTAACATAATGCACTGCGCATTATTTATCCGCTATCCATCAAACAAACCAGTCGGATGAAAGCACAAAGCCATGTAAGTGGTTCGATTTACCATAAATTTGCTAAAAAAAAAAAAAATATACAGAATTATAAATATTTTAGGAACAACGAGAGCTGGACAAAGGTGTTAAAGTGTTTTCGTGGGTACGTTTGATATCCAAATTAATCGGTATCTGGCCTTTGGACCCAAATTATTATCTTTACAACATTTGTATTACTTACTTCACTTACATTATGATCACCGAGTACATTGATCTGTACTTTTGCCTTCCGAATTTTAAAAAAGTAATCAATAATCTTACTGAGAGTCTAGCATTTACCCAAATGTATGTTCGTGGGATAATGTTGAGGGTTCATATTAAAAAACTACAACGAATTACAGCAGAATCGGTCAAAGATTACCAAGTTAGCGCGTTCAAAAATCCTGATGAAGTTTATGAGTTTCTTTCTTACGTCAAAAGAGGTAAATTTTTTGTTAGAGCAGTAACTATTTTCATTCTTTCAACAACAACTTCGTGGTTTCTACGTCCAATAACTTCTTCAACACCTTCAACATCTATCATACCAGGTAAGTGATAAATTTTTTAATTAAACAGATATATACGATTAATCCATTGTTGATGACTCTTCAGGTGACAATGAAACAGCACCGAAGTTTACCTACATTCTGCCCTATAAATTCCATGTTTTTTATAAAATAAATGACCAGCGTACCTATGCGTTAACTTACATGTCTCACGCTCCATTCGCATACGTCAGTGTGATAAGTGCTATAACATCTGCGACCTTGTTGATTGCACTTTCGTTTCACGTCAGCGGAAGACTTGCGATTCTCGCACGAAGAATCAGTGCTTTAAAAAATTCAAACGAAAAACTTAGAACTGAAATCAATGAAATTATTTTTGAACATACGAGACTTTTAGAGTAAGAATTGGTGAATTATTTTTTTTGTTGGCTCTGAGTAAAAGGTTTAATTTATTTTAGTATGGGAGAAGAAATAAAAGTCTCTTATGCTGCTGCTTTGTTGGTCTATCTTGTAGTTGGTACCATTCAATTGTGCATTATTGGATATCATATCCTTGTGGTAAGTGCACTGAACCTGAAAAATTAATTTTTGAATTATTAAATAATAATATTTCAGTTTAATTAAATTTTTTATTACCAGTTAGTTTCTATGGGAAAACAGCATAGTTTGATGCCATTCTTTGTTTTTATAATTACTACTTATGGTCTGATCAGTATATATTGCATTCTTAGTGAAAATCTTCTTGCAGAGGTAAAATATTTTTTACATATAAAAAAATGTAAAAATTTCATGTTTGAATTTTTGTAATTTAGAGCAAAAAATGCAGTGAGGCTTTTTGGTGCTGCGAGTGGTACGAGATGCCTCAAGATTGTGTCAAAGATATAGCCTACTGCATTATGCGAGCCCAAAAGCCACTTGGATTGACAGCTGGAGCTTTTGTTGTTTTTAGCAACAGTACTTTGACCGATGTTACCAAAACTTCAATGGGTTATCTTAGTATTTTAAGAAATTTTCTCGTTGATTGATCAACATAACGCCAACATTGTTGTAGTATTTGTTTAAAATATATAATCGTTGCAGTTAAATTGTTTTTTTTTTTTAATTATTTAAAACATTTTAGAATGTTATTGAAGTTAGTTACTGACAGCGGTCAATTTTTTATAATATACTAAGGGCCAGTTTTTCAATCCAAGATAAAATTTTATCCAGGAAAAAATTATTATATATTGAAAGTATATTTATATATATGAAATATATAGATATATTTTATCATTAGATAAAATTTTACCGTGGATTGAAAAACTGGCCTTAAAGTTAGCTGAAGTTTCTAATTTTTTAATTTTTTTTTCATATATTAAATTGGAACAAAACAATATTTTTTTTAAATTGCACTTAAAGTTTTTCAACTTTTTTATAAGTGAAGTTTTTTTTTATAATTTTTTTGAAATAATTTTTTCAATAAAAAAAATTATAAAAATTTTTAGATATCGGTTAACTTAATTTTCATAATTTTTAAAATTTTTTTAACAAATCACAATAAAAAAAAAATACTTTAAAAAATTTTCACTAATATTTTTTTAAAATTTTAACATGTGAAATTTTTTTATTAAATTTTTTTAATGATAATTTCATTTTTATAAAATTATAAAAAAAATTTCTAATGTACATTGAAAAGTATTGGATTGACTAGATAACCAATACTTTTTTCTTTGTCTCAGTATTTTTTTGCAATCAGGGGTCAGTTAACTTTAGTGTCATTATTTTAGACACTGCGCTCATTTTTCATGACAGGCTTTTGAACTTTTTATTAAGATTCACTATTATGAAGTTAATTATTTTATTAATTTTTCTCAACTCCTTGTTTTTTTGTCACTCAAGTCCTGAAAATTTATCTTAATAAAAATTTAAAAAAAATAACATAGACACCTGACTCCTGTAACACCAATGATGAAAAAAAAAAGACCGCCATTTTTTTACCTGAGACGTTTGAATTATATTTACAAACACTCACTAGAGCGCGCTCGCGCATGTCACATGCTTCTTTAGTTAAAAAATTTAACCTTAGTATAAAATTTGTTTACTAAACTAATAAAAAAAATAATAATAATAATAATAATAATCTTTTTTTTTTTCAATGCATAATAATATATTTTAGCGTTGTCAATATTATACATTTTAATAATACTTTTTTTTGTATTATAAATCTTTCTGGTAAGTAATAAATATTTATATTTTTTAAGTAATTTAAATTTTTACGTGAAATTTAAATTTACAAAAATGTTTCAGTGAAAAATTTTAAAAAATGTCTTCATCAGACAGTTCAGAAGAAGATGTATATGAAAACTCTGCTGCTCGTTACTTAGCCTTGAAGGCTAAGTGCAAAAAAAATTTTTGTGACACTGATGACAGTTTGCTGGATGATTCTATCGACATAGACTCACCAAAAAAAAATGAAGACCCAAAGAATAAAAAGTCGAAAAGTGCAGAAGAAGAAAAAGAGCCCAGTCCTGAGAAACCAAGTTCTCCAGCTCCAGTTCAGGATACTATTGTTGTCGATGACATTCCATCAAAACCAAACAGTCCATCGCCATTGATTGATCCGATAGTCATTATTGATGACACTCCACCTCCTAGGTTTGTTCTAAATTTATTGATAAAATATAAACATAAAATTTTATGATACTGAAATTAACAAAATTGACAATTTTTTAATTTTTTTCTTGAAAAATAAATTAAATCTAGAAAATTAGTTCATAAAAAAATGTAAAATTTATGAAAATTAAGTTAGCCGACATCTAAAAATTTTTAGAATTTTTTTTTATTAGAAAAACTATTACAAAATAATTAAAAAAAATTAAAAGTGCAATTTTGAAAAAAAATATTTTTTAGTTCTAATTTAATAATTAAAAAAAAAAATTAAAAACGTCGGCTAACTTTATTATGTATCATTTATAAAAAATGATCAGATGTCTCTAAAATTCAGTGCCATAAAATGTTTCTTGTTTAGAAAAAATTAATTCTAAATATTAGAATTCAAATTATAAAAAAATATTTTTGGAAAAATTTATCATTTTTGTTTTTATGTTAAGATCAATGCGCCGAGCAGCAAAACGTTCTGGGCCAGTTACAAGATCAAGAGCCAGAAATAGTTTTGAAACAGAGCTGCCGATTCAACCAGTAATCATATAACTCTAATACAAGTAAACTCAATTATAATTATAAAAATTAATATAGTTTTTTTTTTGTTTTTTTTTTTTTATAGGACTTGCCTACTATTGTATTAGACCCGGATGATTCGTGTACGTCGATTAATGACAGTATTGTAAGCCCATGTTCTGTTCGAAAAAATAATTATTATGATGATATAATATTCAGTGATGTTCAGGATGATGAAACATCTATTGAAGTAAAAATTCGATGGACATCTCGAGATGTTAAGCGGTTTCAACTTAGCAAAGTATATTTTTTTTTCTTATAAAAATTCTTGATAAAAATTTACAAATATTTCAATAATTTTAAAATTTCAGGATGAAAATTTTTCCAAAATTTTTGGATATTTTGCTAATTTCGCCAAAGTATCAGAGAGCCAAATATTGATAACTCGTGGGGATGATATCGTTATGCCTTCAGATACTCCATCGTCAATTAATTTAAAAATAATTAATATTCTTGGTAAAAAAATATGAAGATTTGTTCAATTTATTTGAAAAATATTGCTAATGTTTATAAATTAAATTTTCAGAAGGTGGGATCATAGACAAAAACATGGCGGATAATGTAGTTAGCGAGAAGGTAACGGAGCCGGTTTGTAAAATAAAAATCCAAACTGGAGCGAAAAAAGGTCTTTCATTCGACCTGAAACCCACCGAGCCTTTCCAAAAATTGTTCGAGTACTGCGCGGAGCAAAATAACGTCAGCGTGTCCAAAGTAAAATGTTTCTTCGACGGCGACGTAATTGAGCCGACCGACACTCCGGAGGCCTTGGACATGGAAGATCAAGCTTGTATTGACCTCAAAATAATTACATAATTTCTGTATTTATTTATTTATTGTTCAATTTGCATTCTACAATATTTTAATACACAAAATCACAAATTTTTCCCACCACTGCTGAGTTTTATACAAGTATTTATATTTTTTACTGAGTAATAAATTTGAATTGAAAAAAAATATTCTTTGCTGCAATAAATTTTGTTAATAGTAATGTTTAATGAATTAAACTAGGCGCTTTGAGGTGTGCAATTTATTAAAATAATTTTAAGTAATTTTTTCGATTTTAAACAAACAATTTAGTACTTATTAAATTAATTTTTTTATTTGTTTAATTATCTATATTATTAAGAGAAGTAAGTAAAATTTTGTGGCCAGTGTGTTTATGATAAAATTGGTTTTTATGGTTAAATTTGGTATCATTAGAAAGGTCTTGACCTGGAGTTGTGCCTTTTCAAGGTTTCGTATCATTCTCACCAATAGTCAATTTATATGATAAGTATTTAGGCTGCATTCGAAAATGCTCTATCTCATGATAGATACATAATTAAGAATTGACCTTTTATCTTGTGAAATATTGACATTTTTAAAGATATAAGCTCATCCCGATGTTACACTCATCAAGATCTTTCATTTGAGTACCCACATCAATTTTTCATATATTTATATATATTATATAAATGTATATATGAAAAAAAAAATATATCAAAATCGATGTCACTTTTTATTAATGTCCAGCATCGGCCTCCAACCTGGATTCAATACCGCGGGGACTGCAGAGAAGCCTAAGAAACATGACCAGGATAGACATCACCATCATCATCATCATCATCATGACTCGCATTACCATCATCATCATCATTATCACCAGGGCAGGCATTGCAAATCTAGTCATTCGGGCAGCAAAGACAAAACCGCCAAAAGTTCGGAAGTCACTAGACTTTAATTTTTGTCATGGCCTAGTCATTGTAATTATATCTCAATAAATTACATGTGTATGATAAAAAAGAAAAAAATTGATATCAAATTAATTAACAATAAGATTATTTATTTTTTAGTTTTATTGTTATTATTTCAAAACATTTTATGAAAAATTTAATGCTAACTAAAGCTAAAGGTGTATAAATGATTCAATTTTAATTCGAAGTAAATTATATTTTTTTACGTTTATCTCCATCTTCAATTTCGTCAAGTAAGGGCTCATCACTCCGAGAAGATATGGAGGGTGATAATTTGGCTATCTTAAGGTCTTTTTTAAGGTTATCACACCTATTATCAATTCTTGCCGTGTCTTGATCAAGATTAGCCAACCTAGTTTCAATTTCATCTCCACGTTGGCCAAGTACACTTGCAGTAGCAGCTATTGAGTTGTGTACTTCATTCAACTTGGCGTCAACCTGTTCATTAAAAGCACTGCTCAGTTGTTTATTAAAAGTGTCTTCAAGATTCCTTGTAAGTGTGCTAATCTGCTGTTGCATAGCACTTTGAATGATGGGACCAATAGCTGTATTAACAGACGTAACAATAATGTCCTGAAGGGAATTTTTTAACTCTTCAATGATTGATTCCTTCAGCGCTTCAATTGAAGAGGGTAGAGGTGAAGCAGGTCTACGGCGAGAACAGCAGCGAGTGAAGGCACCTGAAGAGTTAGTTCCGGTAAGAAGAGCGCAGTTTGGATGATATTTGGCACTACACTGAGGACAAGGCACTGTTTCACCTACAATCTTCGCATTACATCCTCGGCAGCACGGATGATCCATATCAATCACTGGGATTTTTAGTGGGTTAGGCGTTGTACCTTCGGTCATAACAGTAATATAACAATAAACTGAGAATAAAAAACTAAAAATATGTCAATTAATAAACTTAAACTTACCATTTGTAGAAAAGACATTAAACTTATTGGCTAACCTACGTAGAGAATCAGAAAATTGTGCTCTACGCATCAGAGCAGAGCAAGTTCCTTCTGCTTCCCGTATTTTATTCATTGGCAATAAATATTTTTCCAATTGTTCAGTAGTTGGCGGATTATTTTTAGACCATCTTTCAGAGTCTAGTCCATGAGAAAGCACAAATTCTATAGATCCAGCATAACTCAATAACTCAGGAGCATTACAGCGTTTAGCTAAAACGTAAGCATCGGCGAAATTATTATAATCGACATAATTTTCTGCTAATGACTTTTCACATGAAGACTTGAGATCCTTAAGCTCGAATCGGTCTGCAGCTTCTAATAAAGGTTCAGCAAAGTCATCCAATTCCTTGATAGCGCCGGTGTAAACAAATTCCAATAGCATACCAAATATCTCGGGACTTATGTCCGAAAAAATAAAAATATTATTTTCCTCGGTAGTTGCATTATTTAATGCAAAGCCTCGTTGATCTAACACTTGTTTGTGGGCTCGAAATTCATTATCTTGTATCTTAATTGTTAAATCGCCGCTAACATTTCTATTTTCATATAATTGTAAAATCCACTCTGGTTGCTGAACATCTGCCGTGAATCCAAATAATGAGTTTAATGGACACATGGGCTCAGAATCCAAATAAGTTAAAAGTTCAATTCGCAGTGTAATTGTGTTATTAATTATTATTTTGGGTTGTTTACGGATTGGAAATGGCACCTCCTTCTCATGTAATTGTTCTAACGGTGCCCTTGTAAATTCTACTGGCCAAGCTTTTACTTTCTCTTCGTTCATCAAAACCGTATGGTATTGGCGTAATTTCATCATCCTTGTGTCAGTTCGATAAACTTGTTGTCCGATTGGCTGATAATAATTTTCAGCAGTAAGAATGTACATAGTGACAACTACGTGATGCTTAATATCATCTTCATTAACTTGTTCAAAAAAAGCACAGCTTCTCATAAAAGCTTGGGTATTATGGCAAAATATTAACTTGACAATCCCCTTATCTTTACCATCGAATCCAGAATGAATCTCATGAACCAAAAGACTATCCTCTTTTGAATCATCGATAAAGTTGTACTTATCTACATTATTGACAACCCAGGTGTCAACTTTCTTATGAATTGTTTGATTATTCCTTTGCAACGGCATTTTTTTTTTTTTTATCTTTTAACTGTAAAATAAATTTATATATATAACTTTATGAATAAATTTATCTTTTAGAATAATATACGACAAGCATGCATGATTATAATAATTATGTCCGTTTTCATTAAAAGACATATCGCAAAAAATGGTGTGACATAAATTGTTTTCTTTTACGATAATTATAATTAAATAATTTTAAAAACAACGTGGATAATTCCAGCAAGTAAACATACTTTTTATTACTGTAATGGTAAACAATATTTAACCAAAAATTATGTTGTAACACAAAGATATAACAATAAATAATAATTTTTTACCTTAATTCTGCTATATATTTTTTTTAATATTTATTCCGTGCGTGATTTTAAACGTAATTAATCTGTTAGTGCTCGGTAACAAGTAAATATTGGGCGTGTTTGGCCGAAGTAAGTACTTACTAAACTTAGTAAGCCAGTTAGCATAAAAAAATTTTAATCTTACAAGCTGACTATAGCGCTTTTCGGCCGGGACAGACTTACAGGCTTTAGCATATAATACAAAATACCGACTTACGTTATATTCCGTACATAATCTCATAGTCTGAATATAATTGACACTGATAAATTTATTAATATAGTTTAATTCAAGTAAATAGTTGTAAGTGGACAATTTTATGAGAAATATTTAATTGGAAGAAAAGTTAAACAACCCCTTAAGGAGGTCCTTTCGCCGCCAATGTAAAATAAAAAATATTAGATTATGAGTAAATTCAATTTTTTTCTAATAGTTAAGGTCCTTATTTATCTAATAGTGAGGTTTAAATTATACTTTACCGGACAAATTTTTGAAAAAATAAAATTTTTAAATGTTAGTATTTGTTCAGAGTCTTACGAGAAAGTCAAACATTTGCAGTATTTCTCGAATTATACTATCAGCCATGGATTAGATGAAGTAAAAAAAAAAACTTCCAAGCGATACTTAATCATTCCTGCGTACAGAGGAAATTTGGCCGCCATTTTGTCGTCAAACTTATCTTCATCTCCATCCTTGATCCTCAGCGCCAGTTTGTGATAAGATATGTGCAGTATATCAAACAAAGAAAATTTAGCCATTATTCCATAAGTATTTTTCATAACTTCAACTTCTCCATCACATTCAACTCTAAAGTTTTCTAATTCACTTTCTGAAACAGCTTCTGCTTTATTCCTATCGCAGACGTAAAAGTCAGCCGCCATCAGCTTAACAATATGTTTCTTCATAACCTCACGGCACCTTCTTTTGTCTTTATAGGTATCAATTGGTAACTCGCCACGACTGTTCACAATATTAATATCACAACCTGCATCCAGAAGATCTTCAAGACTAGACGCAGGATCACCAGTGTCATCCCAAATATCTGGAAAGTGAAGACAAAAACTCTTGTCATCAGTCAGAGAGTTTATTTCTATAAAAGGATGACTTAACAAAAACCTGCGACTTGCTGAATTACTGTTAACAAGAGCTGCTTTCATCAGAGGAGTCAAACCATTCTCGTCTCTAATAATAATATCAGCCCCGTGTTTGATCAGCAATTTAATCATTTGTAGGTTATTTGACGAAACAGCAATACCCATCGGTGAGTCGGCAGATTCTCCATCATTGCCAATTCTTCCGTGAACATCAGCGCCCTGGCTGATGAGAAATTCAGCAACTTCATATGAATCCTGACTGACAGCGAATTCCAGAGGTGTATACTCAGTATAATTAAAGCAATGATAACCTCCATAACTATAGCAATCACTTCCTCCCTCATATGTGTCTATTACACTGATAACCTGATTGACAATAGCTCCAGCTGTCACTAATTTCTTCACGTACTTCAAGCGGTTCAAACCTATCGCCGATAAAATCACCGGTGCCGAATCTATTGTCACTAGCTTCGTGTCGGCATTGTTCTCCAGGAGGAAGTCTACGAAATTATCGTCGTCTAGATAAACAGCCAAATGAAGAATACTATATTCGAAAAAAAATCCTCCGTCTCTGGTTAGCGGTAAGAATCTTGATCTTGAAATTTTAGTTCGATCCTTCTCATAAATTTTTACCACTGTGTTGACAGAAAACTCCTTTGACATTATTTTTTCACGAACTTGTTCGTAGTTCGACTGACGAAAGATTTTGAAGGTTTTTATTTCTTCTCTGGTATTATTCATGACTTATTTGTGTTAATTATTTTTGTTATGCCCTCCTCCTGGTGGTCAACGAAAAAAATCTTTATTTTAATTTAAAGTCACTGATGTGGTCTTTAATTCGCACGGGAATATTGAAATACTCAACTTTATTAACGGGAATTTATAAGGTGAGGAAGATGATAATATGGGAATATAAATTAAGTAAATAATTGAACGGAATTAAAATAACTAAATTGAAGTATGTATTCAAAAGACTTTACACAAAAATTAGGAACGACGTGATACGTCTGAGCTCGAATATTATTCTGATATTTCTCAAAAGTGTCTAAGTCCGACTCATAGTAGTAGAAGTAGAGGGGGCGGCTCTCCCTACCATCTAAGTTTCCTATATTTGTAACATCTCATATAATCTTATGTAATCTTCGGTCTGTTTTGTTTACATCAATAATAAACGAAAAATCGTCTTATATTAAGCCATGCTTACTGCGTTAGCACTTATTTTCTGTCCCGGCCGAAAATTTAGTAAGTATAGTAAGTGACTTACTAAATTTAGTAAGTACTTACTTCGGCTAAACACGCCCATTGATTGAAAATTTATACATGGTTTCTGTTTCAAAAACTGACGTTGGCGCTGCTGACAGTGTTGCCAGATTGGGCTATTTACCGCCATTTGGGCTATTTTGAATTTCACATAATTTTATGCTAGATGAAGAGAATTTTATATTAACCCTAACAATACTTGTTTTGTAGATTTTACTATCTTTGATGGTAATAAATTTTATAAAAATTAAAATGATAAATATAACAATTTAAATTATAATCAATACAATAATAAAATAATAATTCCTAAGATAGAGCAATCCCACTATTTGCTATCGAGATGGTTACATTTATGACCAACACCATATACGCGGAAAAAAGTAAATTGTAATATTCACTCGAATTCCGGTTAATTTTTCTAGTTTCAAACAGTAAAGCGGACATCGGGGTGGCAAAAATATAAATATTACAGAATTCAATATAGAAAGTGTAAAAGCCACAATTTAAAATTTATTATCGAAAATACGTGATAAGTAGCTGTCACTACAGTAAATAACGACTCTCTCATCTTAAAAAATTACAGTTTCAAACAGTAAAAATTTTCGTTTCAATATATAGTCCATACTATAAAGAGAATGGGAGTCTCACTCTAGGAGAATTTAACATTTGAAACAGTAAAAATTCTTCTCTTAAAATATATATTTTACCAGTCCAAGCAAGTCAATAATTATAGTTTCATTTTTAGCGTTGCGTTTAAGATTTACCATTTTACTTTGTAAATATTGACGTTGCTTGTATTAGAAATTTACTAACTTTATTTTATACTTTTTTCATATCATAAGATCATTTTTTAGGTACGAAATGATAAATATCAAAGTCTGAATTCTTAAGGGGGAACACCACTGTGACGATCGAAAAAAAGAGGTGATTTTCAGGAATGTTTTTGACAGGGAAAATAAAGGAATTTGGGAATCGGATTTTTTTTATTTTATTAAGGGTACATTAAAGATTATTACCCTAAATTTTTATTAAAAAATATTTAATTATTACAAAGTTATTAACAATCTCGTCGAGCACTGGAGAAAATTTCCCCCCTCCACGGTCGGTTCGATAACTCAAAAACAAATCATCTGAAATTAAAAACTCAAATTGCTTTTTAATCAGTAAGGATGGAGTACAATTACATATACAATTATATATGATTATATAGAAACATTTTTTCTCGGGATATACTAAAACCTTCTTCGAAACACGCTGCATCTTATCGCGGTATAAGTATTATTCCGATCGGTTCAGTAGTTTTCGCAGTATAACCGGACAAAAAAACCGGCTCTCTATTTATTATTATAGATATATGTATATATAAAAAATCTCTACAATAAAAATATATGATACACGCTATTTAAATTTTTAGTAGATAAAAAAATAAATGATGACTATTAATAAAATTTCCAATAAATTGAATAATGTCCACTGATAACCCAATTTTATAACAGAAAATTATAATATTTATAAAAAATGAAATAGTTATTTTTTTTTTCATAATTAAATAATATTATTTTACAAATATTCTATTTTTTCCAAGTCTTCTCCAAGTAGTTCTTTATCAAAATTTGTGGGGGCTCTGTATTTATTACATGCTAATGAATTTGAGTCCCTCAAATTGTTCAAGTAAGCCACTTTTATTAATAAATAAAACCAAATTATTAATAAATAAAAAAATAAATGATAAATATTAATAAAATTTACAAGAAATTGAATGATGACCAATGATAATGCAATTTTGGAAGAGAAAATTATAATATTTATAGAAAACAAAATAATTATTTTTTTTTTTGGATAATTAAATAATATCATTTTACAAATTGATTGATAAATTATTTTTATATACACTATACATAATTGGATTAAATTAAAAAATGTTAGGTCTTATTAGCGTAAGGACGTAATAGCTATAAGCTGGAGTTTAGTTTTTAAATTTTTGATTTAAATGACACAGATAAATTTTATTATTATATTTATTTTATTTATATATTTATCACTAGCTGTTATTTGCCCGATCCGCTGGGCGCTTTATAAAATTGCATTTTTAAATCTAGACTTGAAATTTAATTAGAGTATTGTTTTGACTTGCACAGATTTCAAATTCTATCTAATTGGCATACACCTTTTATCCATGTAATTATTCTAGCTAATATTATAAAAATAATTTAAAACTTTTCAAATATTTATCAGAAAATTAATTTTATTTATTAATAAAAAAAAAAAAATTACATAATAAAAATAATTTAATATTTCCGGCGTTTTTCACGATCGTCTCGCCGATCTTTCTCGTCAGTGCTGGCTCGTTTGGCTTGACGCAAGAAATTGTCAAGCCCAAAAGGATCCTCTTCTTCCTGGTCTTTTTCAAACTGCACTGGGCCAGTGCGCTGTGCCGAGCGATCAGTACCGGTGAATTCCTTGTCTGGTACAAATCTACTAGTCTTAAATATTTTTTCCAACTCTTCTCCATAGTTATCTTTATCAAAATTTGTAGGAGCTCTGTATATATTAGATGCCAATGTGTTTGAGTCCTTCCAAGGTTTCTCGTAAACGTTGTACTCATCATCAGGGCCGTACCCGGTGTCGATTCCCTTTGTAGTATTAAATAGACGTTGATCAAATTGACTATCACTATTAGCATCGATGTTTTTAGCCGGAATACCAAGAGCAATTTGCTCACTAATATCACGTTCACGCTCCCGTTGAAGCCTGGATCTTCTATCTGGAGCAGCTCGAGCAAGATTCCTATCACGTGCACGGTCTTGATGCCTTTGATGTCTCAGTTGGTTCCTTTCTTCAAACTCTTCGGATTTTTCCAAAGCCGCAGAAGCCTTCAATGCAGCCCGCTCTTCACGAGCCTTCTGAGCCAGCTCACGAAGATGATTTTCCTTCTTTTCTTTTTCTTTTTGAGCCAATCTCTTTTCTAGCTTGGCGCGCAGTTCCACAGCTTCAGTCGCTTTTCTATCGGCAATATAGAAAGCCTCAGCAAGCTTGGCAAAGTTTTCGTTTACAAAGACTGATTGCAGACCCCGTCCATCAGCAGCTAGACGTTTGTCCAACGGAATGGTGTAACCTTTTGCGTTTTTCCAGTTACTGATACACGGTGGAATCTTCCACTCCTTTTGCTCTCTGACAGTAACTCTACGAGTTGGAGAATGCATAACTGGTGCTGGTGGAGATGGCGGTCCTCGAGGTATTTTTTTGTTGATCCTAAACTTGGGTGGCTCCATAGGATCTACTTGAGCTTCGACCATCCGAATAACACGTTGTTTAGCGCCAGAGTTGAACGACTGTCCTTGCTGCGATGGTGTGTATCGAACATACTGTGCTGGACCTTGCTTGTCAGCGCAACGGACCGGCATAGCAGCTGCTATTTTTGACTGCGTGATTTTCTCCAGTGCTTTGCGAGTTCTCTCGGTATTTTCCTCAAGTTCTTCCTCGCTAGGTCGTACAAGAGTCAAGTCATTTTCGTTGGCTATTTCCGAGGGCAATAAGTCACTTAGTTTACTATATACGATTTTATCTTTAGAATGACCTTGTCGGGCAATAAGGTCGTATTTTATTCTTCCCTCGGCGTCCAACTGAATTGCCAAGGCGTTAGATGTATCTTTGCCTTTTTTACCCATTTCCAAAGGATATTGAGGTACGTGTATTTCTGGAAAGGCACCTCCATTTCCGTAGTCGTTTACGTTCTGGGGAATCCATCCTTTTCTGTGACCATATGGCGGAGCGGTGATTAAAGCTTTAACCAAAGCTGACACTGGCCTGTGTCTTAAATTTTCCTCCCGGATTTCATCAAACCTTCTTAACAGCATTTTTATTTGCACAAATTTATCTACACAACGTAAATTTATACACGTTTGGTGAACAAACGTAAGTATACGTTTAGTGGACACTCAAACTTTTTACTCTTCAAAAAAAATTAATTTTGCAATTTATAAGTGCACTATTGTATAAATTGAATATAAAAAATTAAAACACACTGTTCTTCAAATGAGTTTAAAAAAATTATAATAAAATTAGACTTGGTTATAACTTACTAACTCAGTGAAATATAATCATTCTGCCAACTTGCCTGCTACTCAACACGACTCACAATCCATTACTAAAGATTAAAGATACTTAGAGATCCTAGAGATATATATAGTTTTTCGTTCGGCTTTTTCTGAGTAATTTCGGAAAGTCATTTAGGCGCATGCGCAGTGAAAATTAGACGTTACAATAGGGTCCGAGGGACCGAGCACTAACTGTAGAGGCAGCATATCTGTCGGAAGTGGCGCGCCCTGGTGTTTAACAAAAGCACTAAATGGGCAAAAAGTATTACAATAGCTTATGTGTTTTTTTTACTTAATAATAGAAAAAATAATAAAATATGATTTTTGACCTTTTTTGATCAGTATTAATCGGCCGTATTTGAAGCAAAAATAATTCAGAAGGTTAAAAAAAAAACTTTAGGCCATGTATGTTAAATTTGATAAAAGAAATTCATGAAAATTAATTTAGCAGATATTTTAAGAATTATAATTTTAAGAATTAACAAATAAATTATGTCCAAGAAAATGATAAAAAAAATTGATATTTAGAAAATAAAAAAAATAAAAAATGCAATTTTTTAGAAATAATTTTTCGGAGCAAATTTATTTATTTAAAAAAATTAAAAAATGTTCAAGCGACAGCTAACTTTAATGTCATAAGAAATTCAGCATTATTAAGTCAGTACCACTATATAGTAAGTAGTGAGCGAAAAATAATAAAATTTCACAAATTTGTCAATTTGACGGTTCCGACTTGATGTATTTATATATGTCGTGATATATCAAAACTCTATAGTTGTAAAAATTTCGAACAATTTAAATAAAAAATAAATCAACATTAAATCACATGTTAGAGTTTAAAATTTTTGCCCATTAGCTTACAATTAAATTTCTATCATCAGTTGACGTGACAGTCTAGACGCTCGGTCCCTATAATTTGGATTTTAAATAAATAACTATATTTTACCTAAAGAATAATTTTTTAGCAAATGTTTTTATAAAAGATTTATAAAATACTATTATTGCATTATTCTTTATTTCATTATTTTTTTTTTTAATTAAAAATGTTTATGTTTTAAAGCTTATTTTTAAATCTTGAAGAAAATCTGTTCATCGGTAAGGAAAGAGTTTTTCTTCAAGATTTTAAAACCAGCCTGAACGTACAAGAATTTTTAATTTAATTTATTTACATTATGGAGGGTAGCTATTTAAATTTCTAATATATCAAAATGTATGTGGGTACTCAAATGAATAGCTCTTGATGAGTGTAACATCGGGATGAGCTTATATCTTTAAAAACGTCAATAGTTAAAAAAAGTACAGTGCAATTTAACAAAAGTCATTATTTAATAAAGCAAAATTTTATTCATTGATAATTCACAATTCACGGCAGTCACGTAGTGACTGTAAGGTTGCTAGTTATTCTTATTATTATTATTGTTTTTTTTTAATAATTATTATTATTAGCACTAATAAATATTTATCTAATAATCAAAAAAATTTTTTAGGTGAAAATTCAAGGACAAAATGAAGAAATGTTATCAACAGATTGCGAACAATTTCTCGGAAAAAATGAAGATGAAATTCACAACATCGCCCTGGTAACACTTGAGGGCCATCAGCGTGCAATAATGGGCAGCATGACGGTAGAAGAAATTTATAAAGACCGTAAGAAATTCAGCAAAGAAGTATTCGAAGTCGCGAGTAGCGACCTCGTCAACATGGGAATCACAGTAGTGTCATACACTCTGAAAGATATTCGCGACGAAGAGGGGATTACTTCTAAAATAATAAAACTACTATCTTTTTTCTCATATTTTTATTTATTTACCAATTATCTTATTTAGTAAATGATTAGACATAATTTCCATTAATTGAGAGAGGCATGAGTATTGATTTTTTTAACATACCAACCCATAGTTTTAAAGTCATTACCCTTAGATTGTTATGAGCTCATTAGTTGATGCTTTTATTATTATCATTATTATTACTATTATTAATTGACTATTGATTAATATTTTAATATAGATAATTATGATATTGAATTGATTTTTATTTGTTTTCTTTACTTACAGGGGGCTAAGGTATGTTAATGCATGACTTCTCTCTTATTTTTATTATGTTTATTATCATCATCAAATTTAACCATTTTTATGCATTACTTTGCAATTAGAATTATTTAGCGACTAATAAAATTTTTTTTAGTTTAGAATTTTTACTAGTATAATGCTGTTTTCTAAAAATTTATTTTTTTCACCGTGTGTATTAATATAAGAGCGTTCTTAGACAGTAATTTCTATTTTCTTTTAATATTTTTCAATGACATTTAAGCTAGCAGTCACTTGACCATTTTTTAATTTTATTTAACAAACAAATTTGCTCTAAAAAATTATTTAAAAAAATTGCATTTGCAAAAATTACATAGTGACTGCAAGGTTGCTAGTAAATTTTATTTTATTAAATCTTAAGAAGAAATATACAATTTTTAAATTGATAATTAATTATACACAAACAATAAAATATATTTCTTCTTAATGATTGCTTCAACTAACTCCTTCTTCAGTTCAAGTGTCCAAGCGCTGGGTACATTATTGTAATTCTTGGAATCAGTGACTAGATGAAGCCCCGGAATAGTTGGAATAAAAGCACAAGAAGCTCTGAAACAAAAGAAGAAATGTCCACTATATTCTTCTCTGGATTTTATTTAAAATAAATATTAAAAAATCAAACAATAAATTTTATATCAGCTATTGGTTTTAATTTTCAAAGGTGAGTTTTATTTCTAATATTCAGTGAGCTATAAGCAAACTTTGATACGCTATTTTTCTTTGTTTTATTTAAAAACTTGAAATACATATTCATGTTCCAAACATTGATACGCTATTTTTAATTTTCAGGCTTTGAGGAAGAACAAAACAATAGCGAAAAGTTTCTTCCAGTGGTAGAGTATTTTTATTTAATTTAAAATCTTCCTGGAAAGAGAGGTAGAAAAAAAGAAGAAATAAAACAATTGCTAAAGTTTATATAAAATTTATTTAAAGCAAACAATGGAGTTTTATTTTAAATCTTTGTGAGGGACAAAAAACTCCAGACCACCTGGGGTGGCTATAGTTGCGATGTGTAAAGTTTAGTTGATATTTTGATCAAACGTTGATCTTCTATTTTAATCTTTGCAGGCAAAAAAAATTCACCTGGCTCTATAGACGTCGAGAAGTAAAAATAATAGCAAGGAACTTTTGTTTTATTTTATCTTCCTGGAAGGTGAGGCAAAAAAAGCGGCTAGAAGATAATTGCTTTAAAGTTTTATTAAAAACAAACCCTCAGTATCGAGGGAAGAAAAATAAAACTCAAGACTATAAACCACTGCAAAAAATATAATTGTCGGACATGTGGATTTTATTTTAAATAAAAGTTTGCAGAGATGACAAAAAATGGCTATAGATAATTGCAGTTCCTTGAAGTTATATTTTACAACGGGAATGAAATAAACTTTTTACAGGGGAAAGAATATAAAGTTTTGTGTTTTTTTAAAACTTATATTTATATAATTGCTGGAGACAAAGAGGGTGGTGTTCACGTTTGGGCTTGCAGGGCGGAGCTCCGCCATTCTATCGGCAACCTTCCTCTGAAGTTGATCTAGTAGCGATCATGGGCAAGAAGTTAAAGCTTCAAGTAAGACTTGGAATTATTCTGACTCTTCGCTGTCGCTATAGTTAGTAACAGTTGATTAATATTACATTACAAATACAAGTGAATAATAATTTTTTAGGATTCACGCTAAACATTACGCCACAGAATTGTGAAAATTTATTTTGTGCTTTATTTATACGGTGTAATATGTTAGTTAATTTTTTTTTAATCATTATTAAATTTGAATTTTAAAATATTTAAGTCAATAAATGCAACAATTTAATTCTTTGATAATTATTTTGCATAAGTGTTAAATATTTAATTTTCATTTTTTAAATATTGAAAAAAGTTTAAAAATTCAACAATTTAATTCTTTGATAATTATTTTGCACAAGTGTTAAATATTTAATTTTTTTTTTTTTTATAATTTTCATTTTAAAAATATTGAAGACAGTTTAAAAATTCAACAATTTCATTCTTTGACAATTATTTTGCCCAAGTGTTAAATATTTAATTTTTTTTTATAATTTTCATTTTTAAAATATTGAAGAAAGTTTAAAGTTCAAAGATCTAAAATTTTTTTAGACTTTTAATAATTAAATTATTGTGAAAAAATTTTAGGAATAAAATTCCACATAAAAGAATTATAAGTGCAAATTTCTAAAAATATTTTATTGCAATAAATTGATTTTTTATAAAAATTGTAAAATGTTTTCTAATTACAATATTATTAAATAATTCATATAATTTTTTTTTGTGACTTTTTTTATAAAAAAACAACGAAATTATTTATAATAAATTCTTTCAGGCATCATTAAATCTATTTCTTCTTTCAGTTGGTGATATGAATATATTTTTTCTTTCAGTAATTTACTGAATAGTTTTAAGTGATATGTTTATAATTAATTATTAATTAATACTTTTGTTTTTTAGTTAATAATAATAAATAAATTAATAATCCTTACATATACTGTTAAATTTTTAACTGCAATAGAAAAAAATGTTTGTTTTAATCGAAGCTTTTTACAGGTTAAATTATTTTTTAACAAAGAAGAAATTAATTTTACTAAAGAGGAATTTTTATGAAAAATAATTACAACGTTATTGATCAAGATCAACAAAATGAACTCAATATAATGGAAGCGTTGATTAATTCTTCAACAATCATGAAGAAATTATTCGAAAAAATTTTCCTACACGAATGGAAAATTTTTAAAGGAAAATAAAATAATTTATCATCAACAGAAATAATTCAAAATAACCAAGGAAAGTTAGTATATATATTTGGTAATCATCATAAGTATTTTTTAAAATATTTTTAGATTTATTTATAAAAATTGAAATAAGATTGATGTGAAGAATAGTAAACGATAATCATATCTTATCTTTTTCAATTATAATAATATTGAATTCCGAAAATTTGATTTTTTTACCAGCACTTTTTATGAAAATAAAGTTAGCCGATATTTCAAAATCTTTAAAAAATTTTTATTGAAAAAATTTCAATTATAACAATTAAAAAAAAATTGTCACATGTAAAAAACTTGAAAAACTATAAATGCAATTTTTTACAAATATCATTTTAGTTGTAATTTAATTAATAAAAAAAATTGAAAAATTTTTAGACGTCTGCTAACTTTAGTGTCATGCACTTTTTTCCAACAATTTTTCAACCACTTCCTCGTCCTGCTTCAAGATCAGTATGTTGATCATCACAATAAAAATAATCTTGTAATTAATAATAATAAATAAGTTTTATTTGTATCACAATTTTTGTGTTTTACAAAGTCACATTGTTGTATTTACATATTTCTTTCATATAAAAGATTATTTACTCTCTTTATTTTATTTTTCTCTTATTTTAATTTTTGGCTTGCACTATTATTACTACACATTGTAGTTGACTATAATTAAATAAATTATGCTTTATTTGTGCTACCAATATACACTTAACTTTCTATTTACTCTTTTATTGCTTTTTCTTAGACTATTTTTAATATTAATTTCTTAACATTTTTCATACTTTATCCTACTCATTCAGACCCAATCTTATTGTTTTACTTGAATTAAATTCAGCACCTTATTATTATCACTGCTTTTATTACACTCATCCTTCTCGCACTCTCTTTGTATTTTTTCTATTTCTTTTATTAATTTACATAAATTTTTACAAATTTTTCCTTTTAGTTTCTCCATTATTTTTATTCTCATAATGCTTTCACTGCCTTTGTATACATTCCACTCATTCATCAGCTCTTTACATTCTTCACTTAGCCTTTTATTTACTTCCTCACACATCAAGATATGTTCTATACTTTCTTCCTGCTCTTTACATACCCTGCAACTCCAATCACTTATTCCTTTTTTTCCTGCACGTGTAATATTTCCGCATCTCACTTTCGCCCATGTCTCTTTGTCCTCACTTTTCACTTCTATTTCGCTCCAATATTCTTGATTTTCGCTCTCTGTTAATATGTCCTTGTACATCTTGTTGTAACTCGAGTTATTTATTTTTTCCATTATTTTCTCTTCCAGCTTTTTTTTGTATTCACTCAGACCTTTTTTTATCCCATCTTCTATCAGTTCTGTATCTTCATTGTCATATATCATTTTTATTATTTTTTCACATTTCATTTCTTTTATTATATTTTCTATTTGTTTTCCCCATTTTGTTGGATTTTTATTTAAAACACCTCTTATTTCTTCTCTTAAACATATTTTCGGCCATCTTTCGTCATCCATAATCTTGTAATTTTTAACTCATAAATAAAAACTAACATCAAACAACTACAATGTATAACATGTGTCAAAATATGTAAAGGCTCAAAATTTAAATTTGAGTATTTTTATATTTTTTTTTTTAACTTGTCAATTAATTTTAATCTGATATTATTAACTGCAACAAAGTGTATTTACATAATGACATTAAAGTTAGCAGTGTTGACCATTTTTTAATTTTTTTAAACAAAAAAATTTTCTTTTTGAAAAAAGATATAAAAAAAATGCGTTTTTAATTTTTTTAAATTTCTACAGGTCAATTTTTTTTTTTCTAATTTTTGTTTGTCAAAATTTATTTTTTAAAAAAATTATTAAATATCTGCTAAATTAATTTTGGTATTGACGTATTATTCAATTACACACTTTAGCAATACACTGAAATTAATTAATAGAAATTTTTTTATAATTTTTGTAGCAATTAAGGGCCAGTTTTTCAACCCCGGGTTTTTATTTAACCAGAGTTTGTAACAATAGCATAACTCGGGTGAAATGAAAACCTCAGGTTGAAAAACTGATCCTAAATAATTATGAAGAAAATTAAATAAAAAAATTCCACGTGTGAACATTAAAAAAAAAATAAAATTATAAGTGAAAGTTTTATGATATCAAAGTTAGCAGTCACTTGATAATTTTTTAATTTTATTTAACAAATAAATCTTTTCTGAAAAATTATTTAAAAAAATTGTATTTATTTTTTAAATTTCTACATGTCAATTTTTTTCTCTCATTTATTTTTCCCTCTATTTATTTGTTAAAAAAATTCTAAAAATTAATAAATATCTTCTAAATTTATTGTCATGAAAATTTTTTTTGTAGCAATTTTATCATATCACAATTAATTTGTGATAAAAATGACAGCTAACAGCTGTTTTTTGCGCCCTCTATCCTCAATTTTTTCAAACTTCTGATCAACTGTTTACGTCACAATGACTGTTCTGTTGGTTATGGAGACTCGAATTTATATTTATAGTGCTCCATAGGCGACTGCTTGAACATGAGTATAAAAAAAAAGACAACAAACTTAAAAACATCAACTTGATCCTCTATAAGTTTTCGTATATACTCTGATTGATATATAATTGATAACAGTGTTTAAAGCGAAGTATGACAAAAATACTCCAAGTTCATCGGTTGTCTGTTATCTATTGAACTCGAATAAAAATGTATAAAGTATCTACAATACACTATTTACACGCTCTTGTGTATCACCCATAATAATTTCGATGCACCTCAGGCTGTTTAAATTTGATGACGTACCTTCCACATATCAGCTTTTCAAAAGCCATGCATTTAAAATGAAAAAGGTCAGTAAATAAAAATGATCCACGCGGAAAAATCCATGGTCTGTTTTTAAATGTGTGGTTAAATTTAAATTTTGATAACACTGTTCTGGTAGAAGACCACGAGTCTCTTTCTGAGTAAACCTCGTGATTAATTAAAGAAAACAAAAATGCATTCATCCAGTAATATTGGTCCGGATTATATTAGCTTGAATATCAATGATTTTGATATTAATTCTCGCATAACATCCAAAAGCCTCTGGAGGGTAAGCTGTTGATATTTTTTTTTTATTTACTAAAAATAAAAATTTTATTTATAGACAATATGTAATTGGTTTTTATTTTTTGACAGCAATGGAACCAGCTATCTCGGTTTCAAAGGAACATATTTTATATTTTATTTGGAACGGTATTAATTTTAACGTTTTATTTTTTATCTGGTAGTACAAATTCTAATATTGATTATGAAAAATTAAATTTAGTTAAAGGAACTTCTAACGTAGCAAAGGTAAACCTTGAATTTATGTAATTTTATGTGACACTAAAATAGCAGACGTCTGAGAGTTATTTTCGACGGACTGTTTTACTGAAAAAAAAAATTGCTAAAAATATGTATGTGATTTTTTTTTTATGAAAATTAATTTAGCATATATTTAAAATTTTATAGCAAATAAATTATGGCAAAAAAAAAATTGGTATGTAAAAATTTTTAAAAATAAAAAATGCAATTTTTTAAAAATAATTTTTTGGAACAGATTTTTTTGATAAATAAAATTGAAAAATTATTAACTGACTGCTAACTTTAATGTCATTTTTTTATCAAAATTAATTTAGCATATATTTAATAATTTTTTAAATTTTATAGCAAAAAAATTAAAAAAAAAATGGCATGTAAAAATTTTTAAAAAGTAAAAAATGCAATTTTTTAAAAATAATTTTTTGGAACAAATTTTTTTGATAAATAAAATAAAAAAATTGTCAAGTGACTGCTGAATTTAATGTCATTTTTTTTTATGATTCATAGAAAATTGTGAATTAAAAATTATATATAGAAAAAAAATTCCAAGAAAAAAATATGACAAAATTTTTAATTTTTTTTCATAAATTTGAAAAATATAAAATAAAAAAAATGTTATGTAATTTTTTACATGTTAAATAATTTTTTTTTATTTAATTTTTTATACAAAATATTTATAAATATCTTTTTATAAAAATTTTTTCCACTGAAACTTGATAAGTTTTATTTTTATCATTCACCATTTGTTTATCAGAAAACTTTTCAGAATTATGAAAATTGACTTAAGATAAAAATTACAAAATATTTATAAAAATTTTTTCCACTGAAACTTGATAAGTTTTATTTTTATCATTCACCATTTGTTTATCAGAAAACTTTTCAGAATTATGAAAATTGACTTAAGATAAAAATTACAAAATATTTATAAATATCTTTTTATAAAAATTTTTTCCACTGAAACTTGATAAGTTTTATTTTTATCATTCACCATTTGTTTATCAGAAAACTTTTCAGAATTATGAAAATTGACTTAAGATAAAAATTATTCTCAGAGTTTGCTATTTTTTTATCATAGTTCTGTTTGTTTATTTGTGATGAATATTGATCAATTTAATCACACGTTATTTGTTAATTAACAATAGCTGGAAGAGTTAGTCTTAGTAGACACCGGTGTCCATGCAGAACAGGTCGGAAATGCCGAGACGGGAGATCATGATGACAATGTAGATCACCTCGATCACGTTGAAAAAGAAAAAGCAGTAGACGCTCAAGTGATAGAGGAGCCCGAATTCCAGCCAGAAATCAATCAATTAGATGATGACCAAATCGGAGAGCCCCCGCAGCCAAAGCCGAATGTGGTAAAATTCAATGGTCCTCAAAATGACCGGCAAAAAGCTGTCGTTAAAGCTTTCAAGCACTCTTGGGACGGCTATGTTAAATATGCGTGGGGGCATGATAATATCAAGCCAATCTCCCGGGGTTACCACGAATGGTTTGGTCTAGGGCTCACTATTGTAGATTCTCTCGACACTATGTACATGATGGGTTTAAATGAAGGTAATTTATTAATAATTGATGATTCAATTATGGTATAAAATTTTTTATATTATATTCAGAGGATTTAGAATTAATTAAAAAATTTTCTTTTAATTAATTACAGAGATCAAATTTTATGTTTAAGATGTCTAATTTGAAACTGCAATTTTTTTATTAAAATTATTGTTTTCTTTTTAAGTGAAATTTAGTGTCACTACAAAATTGAACGCGCTTTGCGCGCTTCTGTCAAGATGTTTATTATCGACAATTTAATTAATCAATATTTTTGCAATTTTTACTCATTAATATTTAACCGTTGCCATAGTATCTGTTGCTATGATAACCGTTGCCAAAGTGGTCATCATAGCAACGAAAAGCAACAACAATAAAAACGTCACCACATCAACTTTTTAATAAAGATTTAATTGCAAAGGTCTTGATTTGAATTTGTGCCTTTTCAAAATTTCATATCATTCTCACCGATAGTCAATTTATTACGATAAGTATTTAGGCTGCATTTGAAAATGCTTTATTTCTAGATATATAATTAAGAAATGACCTTGTATCTTGTGAACTATTGACATTTTTAAAAATATAAGCTCATTCTGATGTTATACTCATCAAGACCTTTCATTTGAGTACCCACATAAATTTTTCATATATTTTGTATACTTATATATATATATATATATATATATGTATATATGAAAAATATATCATAAATACATGTGGATACTCAAATGAAAGCTCTTGATGAGTGTAACATCGGGATGAGCTTATATCCTTAAAATATATATCATATATGTGTATATATGAAAAATAAGATATAAGCTCTCTCCGACATTACACTCATCGAGACCTTTCATTTAAGTACCCAGATCAATTTTTCATATATTTATGTATATTATATATATGCATATATGAAAAATATATCAAAATGCATGTGGGTACTCAAATGAAAGCTCTTGATGAGCGTAACACCGGGATGAGCTTACATCTTTAAAAATATCAATAGTTAAGAAATGACTTTGTATCTTGTGAATTATTGACATTTTTAAAGATAAATGCTCACCCCGACATTACACTCATCGAGACCATTTATTTGAGTACCCACATCAATTTTTCATATATTTATATATATATTACATATATGTATATATGAAAAATATATGAAAAATGCATGTGGGTACTCAAATGAAAGTTCTTGATGAATGTAACATCGGAATGAGCTTATATTTTTAAAAACGTCAATAGTTAAGAAAGTACAGTGCAATTTAACAAAAATTTGTTTCTATTAATGATTTATTAATATGAAAAAAAAATTTTTTTTTCAATCTATGACTTCACCTGGTCCTAATTCCAAAAATTATAAACTTACCTTATTAAATTAATTTATTATATTCCAGATTTTGCAAAAGCTCGAGCGTGGGTCTCAGAAAGTTTAAAATTTGACCTGAACCGCGACGTAAACCTCTTCGAAGTAACAATCCGGGTTCTCGGTGGTCTCCTAGCAATTTACCATTTATCCGGCGACAAGCTATTCCTCCACAAAGCGACAGACCTCGGCGACCGTATGATGCCCGCGTTTTCCACAAGCTCTGGAGTTCCTTACTCCGACGTGAACTTGGGTACAAAAAGCGCTCACAGTCCAAAATGGGGCCCAGACAGCAGCACCAGCGAGGTGACCTCAATCCAATTAGAGTTCCGCGACCTGAGTCGCAGCACCGGTCAGCCGCGGTTCGAAGCTGCTGCTGCTAAGGTCTCCGAGCACATACACAACCTGGAGAAGTACGACGGCCTGGTGCCGATCTTCATAAACGCCAACACGGGGCTTTTTAGAAAACACGCGACAATAACTTTGGGAGCTCGTGGAGACAGCTACTACGAGTATTTACTCAAGCAGTGGCTTCAAACAGGCAAAACGATTGATTATTTAAAAGAAGACTACCTCCTGGGTATCTCAGGAACGCAAAAACACTTGTGCAAACGCACTGCCAAGAACAAATACCTGTTCATTGCGGAGCTAGTGGGCGCTTCTAAGGACATGAAGCCCAAAATGGACCACTTAACTTGCTACCTGCCAGGCACTTTGGCTCTGGGGACTCACCATGGTCTCACTGAGGAGCACATGACCCTAGCTAAGGAGCTTACGGCCACTTGCTACCAAACTTACGCAATCCAGCCGACTTTCCTGGCTCCAGAGATCACGTACTTCAATGTACAAGGTCTCAATGAAGATGATAATCAACTGGACATGTATGTCAAGAGCACAGATGCGCACAATTTGCTAAGACCCGAATTTATTGAGAGCCTCTACTACATGTGGTACTTTACTGGAAACAAAACTTACCAGGATTGGGGCTGGCAGATATTCCAAGCGTTTGAAAATTTCACTAAAGTCGAGAACGGATACACGAGCATTGGCAATGTTCGCAATCCCCAGAACACTAGGCCAAGAGACATGACCGAGAGCTTCTGGTATGCTGAGACTCTAAAGTACTTGTACTTGCTATTTGATGACACCAGACAGTTGATTGACCTTGACAGGTGGATCTTTAATTCAGAGGGGCATCCCCTGCCCATTTATGAAATTTAAAATTGACTGAATTTTTTGGTAGTGAGTTTTTTTTAATGTGACGTAAAAATTTTTTTTTTTGGCAATTGTAAAATAGAAGTTTTTGGAAAATTTATTCGACTGAGAAAAAATTTATTTTTAATGCCATTTTTAGTGGTGATACTGGAGTTAGCTGACAATTTTTTTTATAACAAAATTACTATTAATAATTTTTTCAAATTTTAACATGTGGAATTTTTTAATAATAATTTAATTTCTATAAGTGGAATTTTTTAATTAAATTTTTTTAATAATAATTTAAATTATATAAAATTATAATAAAAAAATTCTGTTAGTTTTCTTCAGTGTCTTCAAAATATGATACTGAAGTTAGTTGACAATTATTTTTTTTATCTTTATAATAAAATTACAACTAAAAAATTCCTATTAATAATTTTTTCAAATTTTAACACATAAAATGTTTTAATTAAATTTTTTTAATAATAATTTTATTGCTATAAAATAATAAAAAAAATTTCTGTTAGTTTTCTTCAGCGTCTTCAATATATGATACTGAAGTTAGCTAACAATTATTTTTTTTTATTTTTATAATTAAAATACAATTAATAATTTTATTAAATCTATTAATAATTTTTTCAAATTTTAACACATAAAATGTTTTAATTAAATTTTTTTAATAATAATTTTATTGCTATAAAATAATAAAAAAAATTTCTGTTAGTTTTCTTCAGCGTCTTCAATATATGATACTGAAGTTAGCTAACAATTATTTTTTTTTATTTTTATAATAAAATTACAATTAATAATTTTATTAAATTTTAACATGTAGAATTTTTTAATTAAATTTTTTTGATGATAATTTAATTGTTAAAAAAATTTCTGTCAGTTTTCTTCAGTGTCTTTTTTTAGTGACGCATTTTTTGTAGTTTGAAACATTCCATGTTTTAGAAATCACTGATTTTGTTAGAACAGAAGACGTACGATAATATTCTTTAAATTAATTGAAATAGTGTTAATAGGAAAAAAAAAAAGAAAATTATTGTTGAATGTCTGCAATTTTCAGTATCATCTTCAATTAGATAATTACTGATTTAAGCCAAAAGTCTTTTTGGCATTACATTGCAATTTGTGTAGAAAACTCTAGTCTTTTTACAAACATATTAATATATCCAGAGTTAAAAAATATGATAATAATAGTAATAATGATATTGATAAATTTAATTTATATATTATACATATTAACAATCTGACTTCCGAAGAACGTACTTTAATATTGTAAACGGCATTTTAACATTTTACATTATAATTGTTTTAAAATGACGAATTGTAAACTTTTTTATGTAAGAATTTATAAATTTAAATAAGTAAATATTATTTGTACAGAATAGAATATTGCGTAATTTAATAGGAATTATGTAAAAAATTATAAACAATTGTATATTGTTTTTAATTTATAATGACGATTGATTCATCAATCAATAGTCTTTTTGTAAAATTATTAATTAATTAAACTGTATTTAATTAAATAAATAAATATTGATAAAAAATTACTCGATTATTTTTTTTATCAATCAGTCGATTAAATTAATAATAAAATCGATTGATTCTTCTTTAAAAATTAAAAAAAAAACTTTTATGTTTTAAAAATCCCGCATTGGCTTTCAAAAAATTGTCGCTGTCAGACATTTCTTCACTCCTCTATTAAAACCAGCCCTTAACAATCTCCAGTTTTTAAGCCAGCTGTTTATTGAAAATCTCCTGTCAATAATCTGTCAAATATCAATGACAAAAATTACACCCATCGACAATTGAAAAATTTCTTCTAATGTCAAAAATAATAATCAAATCTATCAGTTAATTAATTTTGAAATAATGAAGTATAAATTAATATTCATAATTTCACTGACTTACATTTCAGTGGTAGTGTGTCAGGTTAGTTATTTTAATTTTTTTGTTCAATTATTCATTGTTATAATTTTTGAGACATTTAAATTTAATTTTTTATTAATAAATTTAGGCGAAATCTTACGATGACAAAAGATGCAAATGTATATGTCCAAGTATTTCTTCTGTGATCAACACGACAACACCATCGAATCCAACAAACAAACGTATGAATTTTATAGGAAATGTTTCTCCATCTGATTGGTAATTGTTGTCAATTTTTAATTATTTTTTAGAATGTTTCATAACAATGACATTAAAGTTAGCAGTCACTTAACAATTTTTTAATTTTATTTAACAAAAAAATTTGTCCCAAAAAATCATTTTTAAAAAATTGCTTTTTTTATTTTTTAAAATTTCTACATGTCAATTTTTTTTGCCATAATATATTTGTTATAGAATTTTTAAAATTATTAAATATAAACTAAATTAATTTTCATTTAATAATATTGTAAACTTTTTTTTTTTCCAGCAATTGCGACGGAGTTGTACTGCCAAAAATTAAAGATCAGCTGAATGGACAAGAACTTATTTTTTGCCCACGGTGTGAATGTAAATACGAAAATCGTAATACAACAATCATTAAGGTATTTATTTTTTTATATTAAAAAATATTTTTAACTTACTAAATTAGAATAAAAAAGTATTTATAAAAAATTACCCTTTTAATTTTTAAAATCTTTTATGTAAAATTTTTTTCAATAAGAAAAATTATAAAAAATTTTTAAATATCTTCTAAATTTATTTTCATTATTTACGACTTTTTTTTTTTAATTTTTCTTGCAAAACAAGGTCTAAAAAAATGAAAATTAAATTAGCCGACATTGAAATTTTTATAATTATTTTTATTGAAGAAATTGTTACAATAAAATTAAAAGAAAAAATTTCACATGTAGAAAATTTGAAAAATTATACGTGCAATTTTTTTAAAGTATTTTTTTACTTGCAATTTAATTGTTGAAAAAAATTTTTGAACGTCGGCTAACTTTACTATATAATAATAAAGTTAGCCGACATTTTTGATTTTTTTATTTTGCTTAATTTATTAAATTAAACTAAAAAATATTTTTAAAAAAAAATTGCACTTATAGTTTTTAAAGTTTTCAACAAATGAAAAAATTTTTTTTTATTTTTTTTGTAATAATTCTTTAATAAAAAAAATCATAAAATTTTCTAAAAATTAATTTTTATAAATAAATTTTTCTTGCAATAATTTCTTAAAAAAATTCTAAAAATAATTAGGTATCTCTAATTGTCAGTAAAACAATTTTTAAAAATTAATTTATAATTATTTATAATAACAATAATATTAAATATTATTTTTCAGATAGTTGTTATTATAGTAATATGGGTAATATCATTACTTGTAATCTACATGTTGTTCTTAATCTGCCTTGAGCCGTTATTAAATAAACGTCTGCGTAAAAGTAACAGCGGAGGTGGTTATGAAGAGCATACAAATGAAGACGTAAGAAATCCTCTTATAATAAATTTAAATTTAAATTTAAATGATTGAAAAAAAAAAAATTATAACTTGAAAAAATTAATTGACAGGACGAAACAATAGCGTCAAATGCTGCGGGTACTTCTCACGCCATGGGAGTTCGAGGGAACGTGTTGAACCGCGTAGGTCACCAACAGGACAAATGGAAGCGGCAAGTTCGCGAGCAGCGTCGTAATATTTACGACAGACACACTATGCTAAATTGAGTTAAAAAGTTAAAATTATTAATATTGAATTGTATAAAAAAATTACCTTAAGTTGTTACTATGAATTAATTATAATTATAATAAGTGATAAAGATTTATAATTAGATCAGACATATTTTTTAATGATTAAATATTTGATTGACATAAAAGAGATAAACACACTTAAATTTTTATTCAATAGAAATCTAGTCGTGACAAATATTTGGTGCATGGTCAGATCTGTCAACGAGTACACAAGCACACAATTTAAATATGCTTTTATTATTGCAAATAAACTGTAAAGTCACATTAATTATTCATTTAAATAAATAAAATTGATGTTTAATTAATTATTAAATAATTAATGAATTATTGAATTTTGTTCTTTGGAAGAAATTTTAGTTTATGCAGCGACCGACTGAAAAATAAAAAAATATTTTTTATTAGTTTAGAATTAAAGAAAAACATTTTTCATTTTGATAATTAATTCAACAGACACCGGACAATTTTTTAGATATTTATGATAATTCAATAATGAAAAAAAATAGAACAAGAAAATCCTACATGTAGAAATTTTAAGTGCAAATTTTTTAAGATATTATTTTTAATAATTGATTTATCAGCAACCTTGCAATCACTATGTGACTGCTGCTGTGACTTGTAAACTATATATATATAAAAAAAATTTTGCTTAATTAAATAAGGATTTTGCTTAAATTGCATTGTAATTTCTTAAATATTGACGTTTTTAAAAATATAAGCTCATCCCGATGTTACATTCATCAAGAACTTTCATTTGAGTACCCACATCAATTTTTCATATATTTTTCATATATACATATATATAATATATATAAATATATGAAAAATTGATGTGGGGACTCAAATGAAAAGTCTCGATGAGTATAATGTCAGAGTGAGCTTATATCTGCAAAAATGTCAATAGTTCACAAAATACAAGGTCATTTCTTAATTATTGACATATTTAATGATATAAGCTCATTCCGATGATACACTCTTCGAAAGCTTTCATTTGAGTACCCACATGCATTTTGATATATTTTTCATATATTCATATATATAAATATATGAAAAATTGATGTGGGTACTCAAATGAAAAGCCTCAATGAGGGTAATGTCAGAGTGAGCTTATATCTTAAAAAATGTGAATAATTCACAAGATACAAGATCATTTCTTAATTATTTATATTCTTAAAGATGTAAGCTCATTCCGATGTTATGCTCATCAAGAGCTTTCATTTGAGTACCCACATGCATTTTGATATATTTTTCATATATACATATATATGTAAATATATGAAATATATGAAAAATTGATGTGGGTACTCAAATGAAAGGTCTCGATGAGTGTAACATCGAGATGAGCTTATATCTTTACAAATATCAATAATTAGGAAATGAACTTGTATCTTGTGAAATGTTGACATTTATGATACTGAAGTTAAGGCATTTGATAATTTTTTAAATAAATAAATTGCAGCAAAAAATTAATTAAAAAAATTCCACCTTTAGAAGCTCTAAAAAATAATAAAAATAATTTTCTGGACCTAGTTTATCATAAAAAAATTGTCTAATGTCTGTTAATTTAATTGTAATTAAAAATTACCTTAGCAATGTCGACTCCAGCTAGAGTTTTAACTAATTCAGGAACACGCGTAACAATATTAAGAACTTCTTCAGTAAGCTTTTCAGCTCCGATGCTTCCAGAGCCATTAGAAACCATGGTGATCTTCTTCGCTTGAGATAAAGGAGCAGCTACTTCAGCGGCGACCTTTGGTAGAGTTTCAAGCATCATGTCGACCATAGCAGCATGCCCGTATTCATTCCAAGCAGCGGCTTTTTTGGCCATCTGACTAGCCTCGGCCTTGGCCTTAGCTTCAATAGCAAAAGCTTCAGCCTCTCCGCGAATCCTGATCGCTTCAGACTCAGCTTCGGCCTCCATTACGAGTCTCAGTTTGTTAGCCTCGGCCATTTTCTCTAGGCGGTACTTCTCCGCATCGGCTGGACGTTTTACTGTCGCGTCTAACTCGCGCTCGCGACGCACCATTTCTTGAGCTTGCACGGCAATCTCTTGACCACGCTCGATAACTTTAACCTGCATCTGTTCTTCCATGATCCGCTGCTTTGTCTTGGCTGCTTGCAGCTCAAACGCCATTTCTGCTTCTGCTTTCTAAAGAATATAAAAGTTTTTAATTTTTTTGTTATTTTTTCTTAATTAAAAAGAAGAAATATTTTTTTTACCTTTGTTTGAACTTCGACATCATAAGCAGCTTTTTTCAATTCAAAATCTCGTTGTGCTTTAGCAATTTCAGTGTCGTTGAGAAAACGTGAGGCCATGCGTTGTTCTTCAGCGATAGCTTCACGCATTTGCGCATCTCTTCGTGCTTCAGCTTCTCCAATTCGCGCATCTCGTTTTACTTCTGCTGTTCGTGCCATACCGAGGGCTTTTAAATAACCCTAAAAACATAAAATTTTAAATAAATAAAATTTATAAATATGTACACTTATATTAAGGCCATTCTTAGACTGCATATTCTTCTTTAATCATTTTTAAGACATTTAAAAATATATTTTTTTTTAATTTTAGTTTAAAATTATGAAAATTTTCGGTGTGATAATTAAAAAAATAATTTTTTTAATTAACTACAAGTATATTTTATTGAAAATAATTGAAATTTAGTTAAGAAGTTTCATTAGACATCAAAATGGCGGTATGACTCAAAATGGCGGGTCCTTAGGTTAGAAGACTAACTTCAGCACGTTCGACTGGTTTTTGTTAAAAATGATATTTTTTAAGGGATTACATGAGTTTCACGGTTTCAAAAAATCAATTTTTTCTTTTTAAGTTTCATTAAATTATACAACATCTCTAGAATATTGTCCTAAAGTTTCAAATCGATCCGAATAATAGTTTCTGAGATACAGCTTTAAAATTTGCGCGCTCAAGGCGCTATTGTAGTGTCACTTAAAACTTTAAATAATAATAGGGACCGAGCCTCTAGACTATCACGCCAACTGGTGATAGAAATTGTAAGCTAATGGGCAAAAATTTTAAACTCTTACATGCCCTGATAGCCAAACCGGTCGCAACTTTCCGTCGATTTGCTGCCGCAATTTGTCACCAAGTTGGCGGCAAGTCTTGGAAATGAACTCGGTTGTTCACCAAGTTGTCGGCAAAAATTGTTTTCGAAACTCTTTCGCACCAAGATGACGACAAGTTTCTCGAGAAATTTGGCGACATATTGCGGCAGTAGATTGGTCTCGGCTTCGCCTCGGCCAACAATTACATGTGATCTGAGACATTTCTTACTTTACTTCCCTCGGTGCGTAATATACTATTAAAAATTGCACTTACAGTTTTTCGAATTTATTACAAATGAAAATTTTTTTATTTTTTCTTTAATAATTTTTTCAATAAAAAATTTTTTTCAATTTTTAGATGTCAGCTAACTTTATTATAACTAGAACTACTCAACCGATCTTGATGAATTTTTAGACAGGTCTTAAAGATATAATTTGCAAGGTCTTGAACGAAGGATTTTTTTTTTTTTCAATTACAACTAATTAAAAAAAAAAAAAAAATGCTGCGAAATCTTTAATTTTTTTGTTAAAACCTCTGCCAAAAATCCAATTTTCATTTTTTTTTCCTTCGTTCAAGACCTAGTTTGAAGTCTTAACTAAAGCACATATTTTTTTTTTCATTTCAATGAATCCTGTTAAACATGTATCTTCAAGATAGTAAAAAGTTTGAATAAAATATTTCATTTTTTATATTAAAAAAAATTGTTAAAAATAGGCCATTTTTTCCGAAGGAAACCCATGCAACCCCTTAAATAATTTTTTGTGTGTAAAAAATACACTGATAGTGAAAAATAATGAAAATAAATTTAGCAGATATTTAATAATTTTTTTAAGAAATAAATTAGTGCAAAAAAAAATTGGCGTAAAAATTAAAAAAAAAATGCAATTTTTTTAAATAATTTTTTAGAACAAATTTGTTTGTTAAATAAAATTAAAAAATGGCAAGTGACTGCTGGCTTAAATGTCATTGAAAAATATTAAAAGAAAATAGAAATTACTGTCTAAGAACGCTCTTATATTAATACACACGGTGAAAAAAATAAATTTTTAGAAAACAGCATTATACTAGTAAAAATTCTAAACTAAAAAAAATTTTATTAGTCGCTAAATAATTCTAATTGCAAAGTAATGCATAAAAATGGTTAAATTTGATGATGATAATAAAAATAATAAAAATAAGAGAGAAGTCATGCATTAACATACCTTAGCCCCCTGTAAGTAAAGAAAACAAATAAAAATCAATTCAATATCATAATTATCTATATTAAAATATTAATCAATAGTCAATTAATAATAGTAATAATAATGATAATAATAAAAGCATCAACTAATGAGCTCATAACAATCTAAGGGTAATGACTTTAAAACTATGGGTTGGTATGTTAAAAAAATCAATACTCATGCCTCTCTCAATTAATGGAAATTATGTCTAATCATTTACTAAATAAGATAATTGGTAAATAAATAAAAATATGAGAAAAAAGATAGTAGTTTTATTATTTTAGAAGTAATCACCTCTTCGTCGCGAATATCTTTCAGAGTGTATGACACTACTGTGATTCCCATGTTGACAAGGTCACTACTCGCGACTTCGAATACTTCTTTGCTGAATTTCTTACGGTCTTTATAAATTTCTTCTACTGTCATGCTGCCCATTATTGCACGCTGATGGCCCTCAAGTGTTACCAGGGCGATGTTGTGAATTTCATCTTCATTTTTTCCGAGAAATTGTTCGCAAGCTGTTGATAACATTTCTTCATTTTGTCCTTGAATTTTCACCTAAAATTTTTTTTTAATTATTAGATATATATTAATTAGTGATAATAACAATAATTATTAAAAAAAAATTAATAATAATAATAAGAATAACTAGCAACCTTACAGTCACTACGTGACTGCCGTGAATTGTGAATTATCAATGAATAAAATTTTGCTTTATTAAATAATGACTTTCGTTAAATTGCACTGTACTTTCTCACCTATTGACGTTTTTAAAGATATAAGCTCATCTAGATGTTACACACATCAAGAGCTTTCATTTGAGTACCCATATGCATTTTTGATATATTTTTCATATATACGTATATATAATATATAAAATATATGAAAAATTGATGTGGGTACTCAAATGAAAGGTCTCGATGAGTGTAATGTCGGGGTGAGCTTATATCTTTAAAAATGTCAATAATTCACAAGATACAAGATCATTTCTTAATTACTGATATTTTTAAAGATGTAAGCTCATCCTGATGTTACACTCATCAAGAGCTTTCATTTGAGTACCCACATGCATTTTTGTTATATTTTTCATATATACATATATATAATATATGTAAATATATGAAAAATTGATGTGGGTACTCAAATGAAAGGTCTCGATGAGTGTAACATTGGGACGAGCTTATATATCTTTAAAAATGTCAGTGGTTGACAAGATATAAGGTCATTTCTTAATTGTTGACATTTTTAAATATATAAGCTCATTCCGATGTTACACTTATCAAGAGCTTTCATTTGAGTACTCACATGCATTTTGATATATTTTTCATATATACATATATATAATATATATAAAATATATGAAAAATTGATGTGGGTACTCAAATGGAAGGTCTTGATGAGTATAACATCCGAATGAGCTTATATCTTTAAAAATGTCAATAATTCACAAGATACAAGGTAATTTTCTAATTATGTATCTAGAGATAGAGTATTTTCGAACGCAACCTAAATACTTATCATAATAAATTGATTATTGGTGAGAGTGATATGAAACCTTGAAAAGGCACAAATTCAATTCAAGACCTTCCCAATGACACTAACTTTCACTAAAAAATCCGATTTTATCATATGACTATTTTGGACACAAAATTTTTCTTATTCTCTTAATAATATATAATCTCTTGACCTAAAAATTTATCATTATTATTATCTTGAATAGTAACTCTCAACTTTTGTTATTATTTACAAAATTTTTGTTAAAAAATGATCTAATATGTATTAAAAAAAAAATTTGAAAAATTCCAAGTGCAATTTTTTAAAAATATTTTCTTATCATAATTATTTTTACCATCTAGATTGTACTTCTCATTGATTTTTCGCTAATTAACCCCTTGGGCATAATAATAATTATTATTATTATTCTTAATTAATTTCATGATACTAAAACAACAATATAAATAAAATATCTACAAAGTTGCAATGAATAAATCTTCAAACTCAGAATCAAGATAAAATAAAATTACATTTAATCTCTAGGAATTAAATAACAAAAAAACGTACTAAAAATATCTTGATACGTTAATAAAAAATAAAAATAAAATAAATTACCTGTGCAATTCCAGTAACTGAAATAGGTACACCTTGACAAGTGTAAACAGTAGGACTCTCAACTTGTAATGTCATAGTATTTAATGAAATTCTAAAAAAATAAACAAACAAAATTACATAACTCGGAAGCCTGACAATATCTATAATAATAATAATAACAACAATTGAATAATTACTTTTGTACTTGTTGAACAACCGGCCATACAAATACTCTCCCTCCAGGTACAAGGAGCGGTTTGCCATAACAGCATCCTGAAAGTAAGAAGAAAAGTAAATAAACAAACCCAAGGTCACAAAAATAAATACCCAATTGAGCTTTTAGGTTATAAAAGCATTAAATGACAGGTCAATTAATTTAAATGAATTAAATGGAGGCTTAAGTGGGTGAATAATTACCTGAAACAACAAGAGCCTCGTTGGGACCACAAGTAACAAACCCGCAACTCATATTTATTTTGGTCGGCTTACCACGCCCGTAATTACGCTCGCGAATTGTGAATGGTATTTATAATTAAATTTAATCAAAATATATTTATTTATTTATTATTTGGTAGCAAATATATATTTATTTATTATATTACTGATAGATTTCAGACAGTGGAAAAATATATAATTCGAGAGTCTAGACGCTGTATTGCGCTGTTCTACTGACGCACTAACACCAACAACCTGAATGCCGACACTCTACATCTACGTGGCTGTGTAAGTACATATTTACTTGACGTACTACGTACTACGTACTTGCTAGCTAGTTATCATCTTCATGTGTGTAAATTTTTGTCACAGTGTAAGTAGATTGTCATGGTGGTGACGTCAGTGAGCTATAGGCTATAGCGCCGGCGTAGTTTAAATTCCTAGCTACTATACATACATACAAGGCTCTGACTGTACTGCTACTATACGCCGTGACAATGATTATTGGTTCTCCCTTGGACATAAAAAAATTATTGCCTCCAGCTTTTACCACTTATTGTCAATGTTGATATTTGATGGGACAATTGATAATCTGTTATTCATTTTTAACAAGAAAAATTAATAACGTAATAGGCGTTGAATTTTTTTTTTCTTCCTTAAAAAATATTGATTTTATTCATTACTCTAAATGATGAAATTTTATGACATTAAAGTTAGCAGTCACTTGATAATTTTTTATTTTATTTAACAAAAAAATTTTTTCCAAAAAATTATTTTTAAAAAATTGCATTTTTTATTTTTTTAAATTTCTACTTGTCAATTTTTTTTTCTCATTTTTTTGCGATTATTTATCTGTTAAAAAAATTTTACTATCATTATTATTTTATTACTATTGAAATACTTTTTTTTTTAAGTATTAATTATCATGCTTAATCTTTGAACTTTAATTTTTTTTAAGTAATTTTTATGATATTTAAATTAGCTGTCACTTGAACATTTTTTTATTTTATTTAATAAAATTTGATCAAAACTAATTTAGAAGATATTTAATAATTTTTTCAATAAATAAATTACTGCATAAAAAAAATAAGAAAAAAAATTGACATTTAGAAAATTTTTTTTATCCATTAATTTATTTATTAGAAAAATTATTAAATATTTGCTAAATTAATTTTCATGTAGTTTTTAGTTATCAAAAATTACTTACAATAATAATTAAATTCAATTTGCTAAAAAATTATTTTTATTAATTAATAAATTAAAATCTTCTAAATTGTTTTTTAAATCTCTCATAATGATAATCATCTGTCGCCTTTTCAGTTCCTTCTTTATTTTTTTTCTTTGAATCTTCTTCAGCTTTTCTTTTATTATATAAATCCCTTTTTGCTTTCTTCGCTTCATTGTCATCGATGTTAACTATTTAAAAAATACATTAATTAATTAATAATACTAAATTAAATTAATTAATTGCAAATAATTATTATAAACTTACATCTATTGTGTTGTACAAAATTCACGGCCATATTGGTGGGTACAAATTGCGACGGCCCTTCTTGCTTTCGATGTTTTTCCCACAGTAATTTTAATTTTGCTTCCTCGGTAGCTTCAATGTTTTTTATCTTAGCTCTAAAAAAAATAAATTAAATAATTTTTATTAAAAAATTAAAAATTTTGCAAGTCTAATTTTAGTTACTTACTCTATTCCTAAATCAACTTCAGGAATTCCGGATAACATTTGGTTGGACAACATTTCTTCGCTCTTGTGAGTGGAACTCAGTCTTAGATGTTCAGGAACTGCCTGTAAAGCTGCTTCTTCAGGCGAGCAGTAATTATTTTTGTCACTATCTTGTGGATTGTCTGAATTGTTACTCAAAGTATTTTTTCTTTTTGTCAACTCTTCTTCAATATACTTCAACCTGGTACAAAATATTTATAAATATAATTGGAGTCATAAAATATTTTTTATACAAGACTGAATAAATTTATTGACAGAAGAAACTTATAATTATATAATTAATAATAATTAGCAGCCTTGCAGTCACTATGTGACTACCGTTACTTGTGAATTATAAATAAATAAAATTTTCCTTTATTAAATAATTAATTTTGTTAAGTTGCACTATACTTTCATAAATAATGACGTTTTGAAAGATATAAGCTCATCCCGATGTTACACTCATCAAGAGCATTCATTTGAGTACCCACATGCATTTTGATATATTTTTCATATATGTATAATTATATAAAATATATGAAAAATTGATGTGGGTACTCAAATGAAAGGTCTCGACGAGTGTAACATCGGGATGAGCTTATATCTTCAAAATTGTCAATAGTTCACGAGATACAAGGTCATTTCTTAATTATGTATCTAGAGATAGAACATTTTCGAATGCAGCCTAAATACTTATCATCATAAATTGACTATTGGTGAGAATGATATGAAACCATGAAAAGGCTCACCTCCAGGTCAAGACTTTTCTAACGATACCAAATTTAACCAAATTTTGGTTATTCTCTTAATAATATAAATAATTAAATAAATAACGTACATTTCTTCATCTTCATCTCGTTTGTTAGTTTCTGCGTTAAATTGGGTACCAATACCCGTGTCATAGGCATCATCTTTGACTTTAGCATTTTTAAGACTTGCCATGTTAACCATACCACCAGTTTTGACATTAAACGGATCTGATGACTGTAAAAATAATAAATTAATTTAAATAAAATTCAATTTAATATAAACTTTAGCAAAATTTTAAAAATAATTTTTTGGAACAAATTTTTTTTCTTAAAGAAAACTAAAAAATTGTAAAGTAATAGCTAAATTTTATCTTATAAATAATTATTTTAAAAAAATACTTACATTAACTACAGAATCACCACTGACTTTTTGTCCAAGAGCTAAACCTATAACACTGACTCCCTTAGGTTTCTCACGTAGTTTTTGAATTATTTTTGTTTCTTCAATCTTGCTCCTGCAAAGTCAATTTTAATAATAATAATAATAATAATAATATAATAAATACATACATAACTGAACCATTATTATCATCATCACTGTCATCACTTTCAACTTTTCTTGTCCTTAATGGAATGTTACGTTTCTTCTTTTTAAATTCTATTTTCACAGGCACTTCTTCTGAGGTACTCATTTTAAAAAATATTAAACAATTTATCTGTTAACAACAACAAATTTACTTGATAAATTTTAACCTACAACTCCACTTGAAATTTTATAATTTATTTAAAAAAAAAAAAAAATCAGCTGTTTAAAATTTACAACTTTAATTTTCAGTGAAGAAATGACAATTTTCAATCAATTAAAATAATGTAACACTTTATATTTCTTCTTTTATAAATTTTGGAGTTACTTTATTGTTTTTGATGTTATTATTTACAGTAGATACTCTGTAGACACATGGATCAGCTGTGTGATGGCGGTCAATGTGCGCATGCGCGAAAATAGACAAAAAAGAGAAAGAAATAGGTCAAAAAATAGAAATTTATTTTTGTAAGTAATAATTTAACAATTTGAGAAAATAAAAAAATAAATAAATAAAATTACACTAATATAAAAAAAAATCTATAAATATAATAATTATTGAATTTTCTATTTTTATTTCAATTACTAAATGTCATATTGAAAACGTGCAATGTTTATAAATAAAAATAATAATAAAAACAATTAAAAAATTTAAGTTTATTATAAAATTAATAAAAAAATAATTACAAAAAACATGCAGTACTTATTATTTATAATAAAAAATGTAAAGAAGAAATTTTAAGTCTGGATCTGGATTTTGACTATTTAATCTAGTCTGAAAAAATGTTAATAATTGTTAATTATAATTTATAAAAATAAAAAAATGTCAATTTAATAATCTATAGCTTAAAAATCAACTGTATAAACAAACTATAGAACACATGCATTCTTTCCCACCATAGCGCGCCCCGCCCGTCCCTACTATCGTTATCGTATCGTTTAGTCAACGGACACAACTTACAACTTACAATTTGTAATCAAGTTGCACGTTTACAAGATCTAAAAATTCATTTTTTTGCACCTTCTTACCTCAAAGGAACAAATTTTATTACATACAATTAATATGTAACCGAACCACAGCGACTGAAAATAAAAATAATAAAATTACAAAAACGTGAAATTATTAAAACCATCATTGGGCGCGGTTTGTACGTGAGTAACCACTTGTTAGCTTTTACACAAATAATAAATATCTAATTTTTTAATGTAAACTTATAAATATTAATATTTATGTTTCAGAAGTAAGTGATAAAATTAATATTATTTTAAAATGTCAGTTTTGGACGACCGCGAGTTGTATAAAAACAACACTTATTTTACAGAACATATTTATGGAGATTTCACACCTTTTTATGCAATAATTGCTGTCGTTTCTTTGATAGGTGGAACTATATTCATCCTTAATATCATCTGCTGCTGGTGTTCGCCCTATAAAGGTTATTGGAACGACCGTCATACTGGTAATTATTTATTTTTGTTTTTATAATAATAATAATAATAATAACAACAATTGAGATTGTTTATTTTTAATACCCGGCATTCAATAAATTTATTAAGACACTGAAAATAACTGCCAAAAATTTTTTAATAATTTTATAGCTATTAAAAAAATATCAATATTAAGATAATACTAAAGTTAGCCGATATTTTTGATTTTTTTTCAAAAATTAAATTAGAACAAAAAAATATTTTTTAAAAATTGCACTTACAGTTTTTTAAGTTTTTTACAAATGAAATTTTAAAAAAATTTTTACGACAATAAATTTAGCAGTAATTAGAGAATTTTTTAATTTTTTTTAACAAACAAATTTGTTCCAAAAAATAATTTAAAAAAAATTGCATTTTTTTAAACTTCTACATGCCGATTTTTTTTCTTATTTTTTTTAGCCATAAATTATTTGTTAAAAAAAAATTATTTAATATCTGCTAAATTTATTAAATTAAATTAGAACAAAAAAATATTTTTTAAAAATTGCACTTACAGTTTTTTAAGTTTTTTACAAATGAAATTTTAAAAAAATTTTTACGACAATAAATTTAGCAGTAATTAGAGAATTTTTTAATTTTTTTTAACAAACAAATTTGTTCCAAAAAATAATTTAAAAAAAATTGCATTTTTTTAAACTTCTACATGCCGATTTTTTTTCTTATTTTTTTTAGCCATAAATTTATTTGTTAAAAAAAATTATTTAATATCTGCTAAATTTATTTTCATAAAATTTTTTTGTAATAATTTTTTCAATGAAAAAAAATTAAAAACATTTTTTTTTATTAAAAAAATTATTACAAAAAATTTTTTTTAAATTTCATTTGTAAAAAACTTGAAAAATTATAAGTGCAATTTTTTAAAAATATTATTTAGTTCTAATTTAGTAATTTAAAAAGAACTCATATCGAAAAATTAATAATATCGGCTAACTAGAGTATTATGAAAAAAATTTAATTAAAAAATTCCACATGTGAAAATTAAAAAAAAAAAAATTATTAAGTATTTTTATTATTGTAATTGATTTTTTATAAATTTATATAATGTTACTTGTTAAAAAAAAAAAAAAATTAATTTTATTTTATTTAAAAAATTAAAGGAAATCGCTGGATATCTTCTCTCTGGGTAGTAACGCCTCACAAAAACCCACCTCTGGATTTATCAGAACTAAGCCATCGCATCAAGCACCAAATAATCGACGAAAAGTTCTATTATCCACCTTCAGTAGTCGGGGACGAAGAAATTCCATACCCTGACTCAAGACTTGACACACCGCTGCCCCAAGAATATATGGAATTACAAAAACGAGAGAGTGATATTTAATTCAAGTCTTTTGAATATATATTTAAAGTTCAAATTAATCTACTCTCTGGTAATTAATAAGTCTTCAGTAATTAGTACGTCATAGAATGGGCTTACACATATTCTGGCCAGCCAGCGCCTGCCTGACGCTCTTCGTCGTCGGCGTGATAATGATTCTCATCAAATACGGGCCTAGTATTTGCGGACGAGGTCAGGACTCGCGGTACGAGAGAAAAGAGTACAACGAGGAAGATGAAAATAGTCAGGCTTACGCCCGAGAAATCTCGGAATCAGTGGCTTGAAGAATAAAAATTAACTAGTGGCCTCATCACGTACCTTTTATATAGATATTTTATAACTCACTTTTATATTTTATTATGATAATTAATAAGAATGTTCCGTCCATTATGTAATTTTTTACATAGAGCTTATTGAATCTCTTAATATTTATAATGCAAATGTTTTAGATTTTTTTACACTTTTATTTGTATTTTTATTGTGAAGAATATAATGAAATAATAAATTAAGGATTATTAAAATTAATGATTATTTTTTAACATTAAATAATAATATTTCCTCATTAGATTAAAAGTTTTTATTTATTAAATTTTTAGATCATCTTTATTTTTTTTTTTTTTTTTTTTTTTTAATTTTGTTTAAAGTCGCATAAACTACTAAGGTCATGAGCGACTACGGTAGGGGGTAAACTTTTGAGATTGGAACTCGTTTTATTTCTTGGGCTGAGCAGAATAATACACTTAAATATTGAAAATATTCATTGGTGTACGCCGGACTCGAACCCGGTCCAATGCTTTGGTAAGCAAGGGCCAGATCCGATAGGCTACTGCGCGCCTATCTTTATTTTATAAAGAAGAAATTAATGATATTTTTTCTTTAATAATATTTTCTATATATATTTAAAACTTTTATTTAATTAATTTAATCTATAATATTAAGAGGATAAGTAAAATTTTGTGTCTACGATAGTCATATGATAAAATCTGTTAGTTTTTTTAGTTAAATTTAGTGTCATTCAAAAGGTCTTGATTTGAATTTGTGCCTTTTCAAGGTTTTATATCATTCGCCGATAGTCAATTTATTATAAGTATTTAGGGTGCATTTGAAAATGCTCTATTTCTGGATACATAATTAAGAAATGACCTTGTATCTTAAGAACAATTGACATTTTTAAAGATACAAGCTCATTCCGATGTTACACTCATCGAGACCGTTTATTTGAGTACCCACATCAATTTTTCATATATTTATATATTTATATATATGTATATATGAAAAATATATCAAAATGCATGTGGGTACTCAAATGAAAGCTTTTAATGAGTAAAACATCAGGATGAGCTTATATCTTTAGAAATATCAATAATTAAGAAATGAGTTTGTATCTTGTGAATTATTGACATTTTTAAAGATACAAGCTCATTCCGATGTTACACTCATCAAGACCTTTCATTTGAGTACTCACATCAGTTTTTCATATATTTTATATATTTATGTATTTATATATATATATGTATATATGAAAAATATATAAAAATGCATGTGGGTACTCAAATGAAAGGTCTTGATAAGTGTAACATCGGGATGAGCTTATATCTTTAAAAATATCAATAATTAAGAAATGACCTTGTATCTTGTCAACTATTGACATTTTCAAAGATATAAGCTCACCCCGACATTACACTCATCGAGACCTTTCATTTGAGTACCCACATCAATTTTTCGTATATTTTATATATTTATATATATATATGAATATATGAAAAATATATCAAAATTCATGTGGGTACTCAAATGAAAGCTCCTAATGAGTGTAATATCGGAATGAGCTTATATCTTAAAAAACGTCAAAATTTAAGAATGTACAGTGCAATTTAACGAAATTCATTATTTAATAAAGCAAAATTTCATAGATTTATGGTTCACAAGTCACGAGTGACTGCAGGGTTGCTAGTATTATTTTAAATTAATCTTAATTCTATAAAGAAGAAATAAAATGACATTTTTGATTTATTTTATTGACAACATCTTATTATTGTTACATGTTTTTAATACGTAAGTTAATTACATTATACAAGATTTATTTAATTAATACATTAATTATTAATAATTATTGATTAGTTTAATATTTTTATTAATTAAATAGTCGAATGATGGAATGAGTTGTCCAAATTGGAATTCATAATTATCATTAAAACAAAATTAGAGTAGCAAGTAAGACCGTCTAAGGTTATAGCAGGATTTAATCTCTACGCATCTAAAAAGAAAGTATTAATAACAATATTACAATTGTTATAAATTTAATTAATTAATAGTGTAATAGTTGACTCTACTGTTATTTTATAATAAAAAGAACTGCTAAATGGCACAAAGATTATTTCTTCTTTTGCGCTATGTTACAATGCATTGAATAACACTGATTAACATACGGCTTTAGTAATATTATTAATCAATTAATTAATAAATGATATTATTCATTATTTTTCACAATTAAAGTCATTACAATTACCATTATTGTATATTATTGTACAATAATGAAGAATATATGGAATTTTAAATCACGATTTAATTTAAACACGTTATAATCTTAAATTATTAATTGTTACAATGATATGGTGTTAAATATGTAATTTAGTACTACATAAAAGTAATGTAGTATTGAGTACATGTCCATAAATTTATTTTTCTTTTTTTAATTTCGTTACTAAACATTGTAACGCATACAATTGTATCATAAAGTTGAAAGATTATTATCGAATATTTTATTAATAGTTAATATTATTATATTAATTATTATTATTATCATTATTATTTTTTTATTCTTTATTGAGTAATTTGAATTTGATTTTAATGCTCAATAAAATTGAGTTTTAATTAAATTTAAACAGATTATTTATTCAATTATGTCGTTGTCACTCGTTAATAACTATTAACACTTTTTAAAATCAATAATGAATACAAAAAAATTTCTTCAAGATTTAGAGATTAAAGACAAATATTTTTTATACTTTTAAAGTATATATTACTTCAATAATAATGATAATATATTATTGTACATTATTTTATTGTATCGAGTAAAAAAAAATTCAAAAATTTTTTTTTCTCACCGTCAAAATGTTAACAATAGTTTTTTTTATTTTTTTTTTTCTTTTTTGTATAATATCTTCTGTAAAATAAATGCCATGGCTTATAAATGTTTATTATTATTTTTTTTTTTTTTTTTTTTTTTTTGTTATATTTTAGTGCGTCAGTCAATGTAATATATTTATATTTATATATAACATTATGATATTTATATATAATATTATAACGCTATTGAATTATCGATTGCCAAAAAAAGACGGGCTTACGATTAATTTTTTTTTTTTTTTAATTGTATAGCTTCATGTTGACTGTTTACTGTTTTCCAGTCTTTCTATTGCGATCGGCTGAAAATGAAACCAATTGCCAATTAAATATAATTAAACGACAGATAAATATATATGTTTAATTAAAAATAAAATACCTTTGGTGACTTTTTTCGAGCTTGCAGCCTCTGGTTTACAGCTTTTAGTAATGCGACGCGTTTGGTCGCATGATGAATCGCTATTGGCTTTTAAATTATCCACTCGTGTCATTGACATATTTACACATGCACTGAATGTTCCTTTGTCATAGCGGCACGCTAAATTACATTTTAATTAAATTTATTAAAAAAACCAATTAATACAAAGAATAAAAAAAAAATATTTGTATAGTTAAATTAACATTTTAATTAACGTCTGTTCCACACAATTGTTAAGGCGAGCGATTTAATAATTTATTAATTCACAAAAAAATAATAATAATAACAATAATTTCTCAAAATAACGATTATTAAAAATATTAAGAATTTTGTGTCTAAGATAGTCATATAATAAAATCGGCTTTTTTAGTGAAATTTAGTGTCATTGCAAAGGTCTTAATTGGAATTTGTGCTTTTTCAAGATTTCATATCATTCTCACCGATTGCCAATTTTATGATAAATATTTAGGCTGCATTTAAAAATGCTCGATCTCTAGATACATAATTAAGAAATGACCTTGTATCTTGTGAACTATTGACATTTTTAAAGATATAAGCTCATCCCGATGTTACACTTAACGAGACCTTTCATTTGAATACCCACATCAATTTTTCATATATTTATATATATTATATATATGTATATATGAAAAATATATCAAAAATGCATGTGGGTACTCAAATGAAAGCTCTTGATGAGTGTAACATCGGAATGAGCTTATATCTTCAAAAACGTCAATATTTAAGACAGTACAGGACATTTTAACAAATATTTTGTGAATTATTGACATTTTTAAAGATATAAACTCACCCTGACATTACACTCATCGAGACCTTTCATTTGAGTACCCACATCAATTTTTCATATATTTATATATATTATATATATGTATATATGAAAAATATATCAAAAATGCATGTGGGTACTCAAATGAAAGCTTTTGATGAGTGTAACATCGGAATGAGCTTATATCTTTAAAAACTTCATTATTTAAGAAAGTACAGTGCAACCTAAGAAAAGTCATTGTTTAATAAAGCAAAATTTATTTTGTAATAAGTATGAAAACATTAACTGCTGAGAAATTTATTTTTTACAGAGACATAATTTGGAATAATAAGCTACCTGATTTAATTATAAATGAAAATAGAATTAATAATTTTTAAATTGATTTGAAAAAATATATATCTGAGTACATAGGACCTTTTGATAAGTTAAATTGTAGCAATACTTAGTACTGTGATATTTGTGATAAATTTTGTTAATAATTATAAGAAAAAACATGTAAGAATATTGTAAAAAATAGCTGTGAGCTTAATGAATAAATTATTATTATTATTGATTTGGCATTTAAGAAAATAATAATAATAATTTTTCAAAATAACGAATTATTATTTTTATTATTAAATAATTTTAAAGTGACATAATAAATAATATAAATAAAAATAATAAATATTTTATTTACCTTTGCCCTTTTTGCATTTCTTCTGAATTGTTTTAGTTTGTTCACAAGTTTTGTCTCCTTTCTTTAAACTCAAAGTACGTGATCGCATATTTGTTTTTGGATCGCATTCATTCCATTCGCCTTTTGAATATCTACAACTTGATCCATTACTTCCTGACGCTACAATAAAAAATAAACTATTACTTCTTTTATAAACAAAATTAATACATCACTCAAAAAATTTACTTAGTTTTAGAAATAAAATTATAGTAATAAATTTTCTTGTATTTATTACAGAAAATTTAAATATTTTTATTAAAAATAAAAATAAAAAATATCTATATATATGATTTTATAAGTAGACTAAGTGTTGTTTGTACTCAATTTAATGGAAATCGAATCCTTTTGAGAACAAGTATAAACATAACCATCTATTTTTATTACTTCAAAGATATTCATACACAGTAAAGTAATAATAATAACATTGAATAATATGAAAAGAAGAAAAAAATATTTTTTATAAAATGTAAAATTTTTTAAAATAAAAGAAGAAATTATTTTTCATAAAATTCATTAAAGAAGATGATAGTTTAATTTAAAAATTATAAAATAAAAGATACTTTAAAAATTATTATTACTTTTTGTTTGTATATTTATATGAAATGAATAACGAGGATAATAATAGCAAAGAAGAAAATAAATATAAATATCGGATATTTTAAAATGATCCTTAGAATAAATTTAAATAAATTCTATTTTAATAACATTGATCTTATGAAACTTTATTTAATAATAAAAAAAAAAAATAAATCTCTGTACATTATTAAAATGGAATTTATAAATCTAAAACTCAATTTCAGAGTACAAAGTATAAATAATTGAAATAATATTCTTGAAACATAAATGAATAAATTAGTTAATTGGAAAAACGAATCAGGGTATCTCATAATAATAAAATGTGCATCAAATGAAATGACTATAATAAAATAAATTATGTGAAAATATTATGATGGAACGTACCACGGTCTTTAGTACCTCGTACAGTTCGCACGAGTACTTCTTTGTCATCTTCTTCCTCCCATACATCGGATTCAGCTTGTGCCGTAATTGCCATTATTGAGAGTACAACTCCCAGCAGCAATATTAAGCTCCACCACAGCTTCATTGTACCTAGCAATAAAAAACAAAGGATTATATTTAGTTTACATAATTTATTTATTTATGTACATAAACGCCAATCGGCATTATTTATTTAAAAAACGCTAATCGGCAACATACATCCAGAATGTTACAACGAAAAAAAAAAAATCAAATATATAATTTATAATTTTGAGAATAATGAAGAAATAACAATTTCACATTTTAAAGATTTGTCAAAAATACTGCAGTTTATCCGGTGAGATTTATCAGGATACTAAAAAAAATAGAAAAAGAAGAGATAATTAATTTATTTAAATTAAATTGATTAATTTTATCCCAAAAGAAGCTTCTTGGCCATTCTTATGAAGGATCCATAGATAATTTAAAAATTATATATCTATTAATTAGTTTATTATTCTTTAAATTATAAATTTTAGCTTAAGGAGGGAAGTCCATGTAAAAGCCTCAAAATCGTTCATTTCTTAAAAATATTTTTAAAGATGATAAAATAATTTTATTGTTTTCAAACTTTAACACAAATTTATAGAACCTTTCTAGAGTACAAAAGCAATTTTTTTTTCCTCTCAAAATGGCGGCTCAGGATAAAAATTAATGTTTTTTCTTTTTAGAACATATTAATGACAAAGATAAACCTTTAAAATAAAAAAAAAAAAATATATAAAATTCAATATAAAATAATCCTTTGAAAAAAAAATTCAGAATTTGGGGCTATTTTTTGGACCTCAAAAAAGTATTTTATCAACGCAAAATATCTGAAATTTTTGGTTTATCTTTCTGGTAGTAATATAGAGAAAAGCCTCACCAAATTTCAAACAAATTGATCAATAACTTTTTGATTTACAACACGAGCAGTTTTTCCTCTCATCAGTACATGCTCAACATACTATATTTTCAGATTATTGAAAAAAAAAAAAAAAAAAATTGATTGTTTGAAAATTTTACATGGGCTTCCCCCTTTAAAAATTATAATTTCTTATACATTTGGAGCTGTATTATCTACTATTATTTATTTATTTATGACTTGGTTGACGTTGAGAATTTTGTACACATGTATTGTTGTACTTGAAAAATTTTTTTATAATGATTATTGGTATGACTATGTTTTGACAGAATATTCGAAGTAATTTTTTATTGCTTGTGATTTTATTTAATTTATTTGTTATTAGTTGCTGATGTTTACTTATCAGTAATAGTATTGATTTTTTATAATAATTAATTATAATTTTTATAATTAATTTTTTAAATGATTGTATTATTTGTCTGTCAAACTAGATACCTGAATATGTCGGAATAAAACTGACAAAGTGTCGTATAATGAATAATTGTGTTAGAATTTATTGATGGTTTTTTTTTTTACCTGATCCTTATTTCATATTATATCTCAAGACCTGAAGTTTTTTTTTTATTATAATTTCTTATTTAATGATGCCTAGTTAAAATAATAAATATTATTAATAAAATTGCAAAACATATTTTGATATATTGTATGATCTTCAATCTCCTTTTAAAATATTGCTCCTCTATTTCTTCCCTGAATTCTAAAAAAAAATCAAATAAATTAATTAAAACAAATAATAACAATGCGAGCGTAATTACAGGCTTTGTCTATATTCTTCCCAAGTGCTCTTACAGTTCTAAAAAACCAAAAGTGAAAGACGACTAAAGGAATGTCAACAAGTACGTGAAAGAATCTCAACAAGATCTTGAAGTAATTCTACAATAAAATAAAGAATAAATTTTTTTTTCAATACTTTTATGGAGAATCTACTATCCAAATAAAGTATTATTACTTTTAATATAAAAATATTATTAAATCCATATTCTTCTTCATGTCCATTTAAAACTTTTGTTTGTTTGGTTTTTATACTCTTATCGTCTTTTTTATCTCTTCCTCTTCCTATTCAATATAATATTATTTTACTTAACTTTACTCTTCTTCTTTAATGTACATAGATGTTTTTACATATCATATACTTTTTATAAATTTTAAAATAAAACCCAGAGCTGTTACGGCTCGTTGACAATGTAATCTAAATGGTATGCTAGACGGACTGAAAAATAATCCGTACAAAATAGCTGAGAGTACAGCTGAAACAAATTTATCCATCCATGTGTACAGACCATATATAAATATATAGACACAAATATAGATATATATACTGTAACGAGATGTATGATATGTTATTTCGTTGGCAAATACTCGGACAACTCCGGCACGGGGTTAACGATCGGACTAGTTGACGCAAGTCATCAAGTTGCAATTGAATAAAAACCACAACTACACCTTTTATTTTATTAATCTAGAACATTTATCAAAATTTATTACTTTCATTTTTTACAATCCTTTTTTGTTGAAATTTATTTTTTTTTATTTTTTTTTTTTTTTTTTTTTATTTATTAAAATACTAAAATAGATTGGTTATTTTATTTTATCAAGGTCAATAATGATAATATATTTAATCTATTTATATTTAGTGACGAATATTGTCATGGTACAGCGAGAAGAGAACAAGTGAATAATCAACCGCGTGTTGGTTATATACACGAGTGAGCTGGGATCGATAAGCTCCATAATCTCTGATTATTTTTTTAGTTATTATTCCAACTGTTTTAACTTTAAAATAATTATTCAATTAATTTTTATTTAATATTAACTAAAGAAGAAATAAAAAAAAAAATGAGAAGAAATACCAACAAAAAATAAAATTGTTTTAATTTCATTAATAATTATTAAATAATTTTTTGTTTAATATTTATTAAAGAAGAAATAAAAAAAATGAGAAGAAATATCAACAAAAAATAAAATTGTAAAAAAAACTCTTTTAACTTCATTAATAATTATTTAATTTTTGTTTAATATTTATTAAAGAAGAAATAAAAAAATGAGAAGAAATAATGATATTAAATTTAGCCGACGTTTTTAATTTTTTGATTTTTTTTTAATAATTAAATTAGAACAAAAAAATATTTTTAAAAAATTGCACTTACAGTTTTTCAAGTTTTTAACAAATGACAATTTTTTTTTCTTTTTTTTTTGTAGTAATTTTTTCAATAAAAAAATTCATTTTAATTTTTAAATGTCGGCTAACTTAATTTTCATGAAGAAATATCAAAAAAAAAAAAGATTGAAAAAAAATGTTTTAATTTCATTAATAATGATTTAATGAATTTTGTTTTTAATATTTATTAAAGAAGAAATAAAAAAAAATCAGAAGGAATATCAACAAAAAATAAAATTGTTTTCTCCATTAATAATTATTAAATTTTTTGTTTAATATTGACTAAAGAAAAAATAAAAAAAATGAGAAATATCAACAAATAGGATTGTAAAAAAACAGTAAAAAGATTTGCGCAACAACCCCCATCCCTTAAAATGTAACCAGAGTAGTCTTATCTAGAGAATAGATATCTAAAGATAAGAGTAGCAGCTGCTGGCAGCACTCTTACTCTTTTATATATATTTCTTCTCTACAGCATCGACTATTCTATCTCTCGGCGTATTGTTCACTGACCCGAATTTAAATTTTCCCAGTTGAGCGACTAAAAAATATAAAATAAAAAAAAAAACATTAAAAAGGTTACTTTTCTCAATCTATTTTGATAAACGCTTTGTTAGTAATTTTTAATCCACATGTTCACTGCACTAATCAGTTAATTAATTATTGATAATTTAAATTAATAAACATATTTATAATTAAAGTAATAAATATAAATATAAATATTTAGTGGCAATATACGGAGATATTAGCATACAAAGAAAGATATGGAAGAAAATCAATGACTATTTCAGCAGCATTCCACCAATAAGAGTAAATATAATTTCTACAGCTGAGAATTAATTATAATGATAACAATCAGGAAGAAGCTGATGAATAGACCCAGTGTTATAATTATTATAACATAGTTAAATAAAATTAATCACTCACTTAATCTAGAATTTAATTGAAAAAATAAATTTTTAGTCGGATGAGCTTTTTTTTAATGGTATTATTATTATTATTATTATTATTATTATTATTGACAAAACTTACTTGTGATAAATGCTGAAGAAATGAGAAGCTAACAGTGATCTTGTTTATTTAATCTTGTTATAAATTTAACAAAAATGTCGAGTGCACAAAGCTCGCGGTTTTATGGGTAGATAGCTGATACACTGGGTCTGAGAGGTGATAGACTCTTTTCTCTTTTCTGGTGGTGCTTTTGCTACTGGGAGATGATTCGCGTGGAGAGCGGCTGCGCGTTGTGCTGATGTAGTCAAACAGAGACTATTCAGCTAAGCTCCACTCTGTATTGCTCGAGAACAACAAACTCTGGATTGAGACTCTTTGGCTCTACTCGGGGTTTGCTCCTGTACACAATTTTATATATATGTATATATGTATATATAGTCACATACACATAGTTACTTGGAGCTACACAAAGTAGATTTGTGGCAAAGTCTACCTACACAGACAAAAGGGAGAAACACTGGCCTCCCACTCGCTTTTGTCCATTTCTCGTGGCATGGACCAGGCTGTTGTCGATCTCGTTCTCGTTCTCGTTCTCGAAACCGACTTCTCGTTTCCCTCGCACAGTAGTATTGATGCAGATGGATCATGCTGGATGGATGTGTATTAATGTTTTATGGGCTTTTCAGTGTGTGAGTGTCGAATGACGAAGGAGAAGAGATGCTGCATGCAATACGTACGCCCCCATGCCGTCATCCCGTTCCATGTTCTGGGTAAAGTTTTGCAGAAACACTCAACTCCACTGTACTGCGCTCTTCTCTTCTTGATGTTGAGAAAACAAACGTAAACACTGAAATAACATTGCAGCTGAGTGTCGACGAAGGATCTACGTTAATTTATCTTCTTCTTTTTATTTTTAGGGCTAAAAAAAATCTTTTTTTAATATTTTGGTCTAGATCGATAATAGTTTGATAATTTAAAATTTTTTTAGTAATTTAATTATTATGAAAAAGATTTTATTATAAAATTCCACTTAAAAGCATTTTAAAAAAATTAGTAGTGGGAATTTTTAGAATTTTTTTTACTAAAGTTAGTCGAGGTTTTTAATTTTTTTTAATAATTAAATTAGAACAAAAAAATATTTTAAAAAAATGTAATACTAAAGTTACACGGAAAGAACAAGATGACACTGAATACCATCTCAGATTATACTCAGTGACATCTGAGGTGAAAAAAATTTTCAGATGGTAGCTAGTATAATCCAGATTATACTGAATAATATCTGGATTATACTCATTGTATAGCCGACATTTTCAATTTTTTAATTATTTTTTATTTATTAAATAAAAACTAAAAAATATTTTTAAAAAATTGCACTGATAGTTTTTCAAGTTTTTTACAAGTGAAATTTTTTATTTTCTTCTTTTTTTAATAATTATTCAATAAAAAAATTTCTGAAAGTTTTTAGATGTCGGTTAACTTAATTATCATGTTCACTTTGTATTATGATACTGAAGTTGCGAACATTAGAATTTTTTAGCAGATATTTTAATAATTTTTGTAACAATTAAATTAGAATACAAATAAATAAAAAAAAAAATTGACTAGTAGAAATTAAAAAAAATTAATAATGCAATTTTTTTAAAATAGTTTTTTTGTACAACATTGTTTGTTAAATAAAATTAAAAAATTGTAAATTAATTGCTTAATTCAATGTCATGAATTTTTTAAATTATTTTTTAGCAATTAAATTATTATTAAAAATATTTAATTACAAAATTTTGTATGTAAAAGTAAAAAAAAAGTTATTATTGAAAATTTTTAGAAGAATATTTTTATTGCAATTGATTTGTTATTAGAATTTTAAAAAAGTGACAGCTGTCAGCTGATGAGTATTACTAAAAATGTTTAAAAATAATTTTGCAGCTTTTTTTTGAACTAAAATTAACAATCTTTCATTTTTTTCATGGCAAAAAAATTGACATGTAGAAATTAAAAAAAAAAAATGCAATTTTTTCAAAAGTAATTTTTTGGAACAAATTTTTTTGTTAAATAAAATTAAAAAATTGTGAAGTGACTGCTAACTTTAATGTCATTTTAAAATAATATTTTTGTTTGAAGAAATTTTAAAAAATTATTAATGCAAATTTTTAATATTTTTTTTAGTAAAGATGGCTGTTGGTTTCATTTTTTTTAAGTTAGAAAGAGAAGAATAAATACTTACAAAAAAAATAGAATTGAATAATAAAAAAAAAAAATTTTCATGGTGAAAAACTTCAATTTTGATATTTATTTCATTTGAAAGTATTTTTTTTTGACGCATCTGTTCCTACAGCTGTTTAAATGTCATTGTACTTGACCTACGAAAATAATGTAAGTTGTCAGTGTAATTATTGAATTTAGTCACGTAATTATCTTACATTACCTTTAAAGTGAAAAAAAAGAGACGCAAAGCACGGAAATTAAATAAAAAAATATTATCTAATAGAATAAAAAGGAAGAGTGATAAAAAGTAAGTGAAATTGGTAAGGATTAAACAATGAGATTCAGGAAATAAAAGATAGATAGTAATTAAAGTTAAAAAAAATTGATAAAGTTAATTTTGAGAATAACGGGAGGTTTGTTGGCGTGGCTGGAAAATAAGAAACAATTATCGTAAATATGTCTGGAATAAAACAGCAATAAAAATGACATGATAAAGGGAGAAAATGATGTCGTTGATACAATTAAATGGAATGATTGTCGTCAAGTTGGTTGACATCGTCGAGTTGTCTTTTATTTCCTTCCTCTTCAAACTGGCATTCGCCCTCCATACTCTTTTTGTCTATAGATAGTAGTGGATTATCTGGATATATAATACAGTGGTGGTACTGTTACAGTACAACAGTATAGTAGTTAAATGTTGAATGTTGAATGTTTCAGTGGTGATTCGCCTACGGACATCCAATGCCACCGACTAATGTCATTTTTAAGTTCCAAAGCCACCGTCTGGTCGGCCTGGTGGGTCTATCAGGCTCATCGTCAGCGACAGGGACAAAGAGTAAAGAGTAAAGAGCTGATATGAGCAAAGCGGGCCGGGCCATCCACGCAACACATAATATAACTAAACAGCAATTGCGAAGGAAATGGGATCAAGTTTGAATGATTGCAGAACTAAGTCTGTCTTTCCGGTGTTATTATTAATTCACTCGGATAAAACAACTTAAAATTTAAATGATGCAAAATTATGGTTTATAAAGTATAAGCTTCATTTAAGTTACGTCGCTCGCCAAAATTTATCTTTATATTTTAATTAAAATTTATTTACCAGGTATTCAATCATTTTAAGAGTTTTTTTAACAAATAAATTGGGGCAAAAAAAAATTAATTAGTAGAAATTTAAAAAAATAAAAAATTCAATTTTTTTTAAATAATTTTTTTGAACTAATTTGTTTTTTAAAAAAAATTTTCAAATTCTTTAAAAACTACTAAATTTAATGTCATTTGATTATAAAAATAAATTTGGTAGATATTTAATAAATAAATTATGGCAAAAAAAAATTGACAAGTAGAAATTTAAAAAAGTAAAAAATGCAATTTTTTTAAAATAATTTTGTGAACAAATTTATTTGTTAAAAAAAATTTTTAAATTATCTTTAATGTAACTTAATTTTATCACAAGCTTTTATTTATTTCATAATTTTGACACTTGCTAAATTATCCCTACAGGTGATAAAATTTTTATTTAAACAATTTTTCCGAATTTATACTTCATTAGTCAGTTAATTGACAAAATCTGTTTGCGCGATAAATTTTACAAGCAATCGAACTTCAGTATACTTCAATTAATACACTTAAAACTTGACAATTGCCTTTAAAACTTTTAAAACGAACCCTCTAGACTAAACTTTTCGTTTAACGACTATAAAAATGATTATCTTTCACGCGAGTTATTTTTATCCGAGTTATTATTTCCGGGTTATTTTGTCCCAGACTATAAGCCTTAATAGAACTTATATTTTTTGATATGACGAGGACAAAAAAATAAAATAAAACAGTTAATTAAATGTTTTTTTTTATTTTTATTTTTCTCTTCAAAAATAAACATTTTGAAAATGAATGTTTACGAGTTCGTGTAGTTTCCTTAAAATCTATTATCTAAGAGCTGCATTGTAGACATACACATGACATGCCTGATTATTTATTTATTGTTTTAGTTGATTGTTGTTTGCAGTATCCCAAACAGCGGAACTGTTAGTAAAGATTGACACCAAAACCGCTTGGCAATTAAGATCATTGTTAATTTATATTACAATTAATAATTATACCTGATTTCAAACTTTACCTGTATATTATGCCATTCTTATTAATTACTATTTGTGTGTTGTATTTATTATATTATTGACACAGTTTTTTATATTTATGAGATTGATATTTGAAACAATTTTTTTAAATTACAGTACCGCTAATTGTTTATTTTATCACATCGGTACATTCCGTAGATTGAAACCTGTCATTTATTTTTTTCTCTTTATTTTATTCTTCATTATCATCAACTCCCTTTTTTTTTTTTTTTTTTTTCATATTCTTATCACTAATATTTATAAACACGCTTACATTAGACGACGGCATCTTTAGCGGCTTGAACGAGCTCATCGAATGAATTCTCCAAGCATTGTCTCAGCTCGGCGTAACTTACAACCAATACACTTTGCTCGTCACGCGACATTAGACAAATCTAATTAAATAAATAATTTCTTATGATTAAATTTTTTATTGATGTGGCCAGGATTTTTTCTTTAATTTCAAAATAACAATTATTGGTCGTATAAAAAAATTTTTAAATAAAAATTATTCAAAATTTAATTGTCTAAAAAAAAAAAAGACTTGTAATTTTTTTTAGGACTAATAAAAAAACCCGTAATTTTAAAATTAGAATTTTTATAATCTTCAAAAATTTGAATCATTAATTTTTAATTAAATTTGAATGTTAATTTTTTTTAAATTAAGGCAAAAATATTGGTCGTAGAAAAAAATTTTTCAAAATTTAATTATTTAAAAAAAATGTCTGATAATTTTTTTTAAGACCAATAAAAAAAAATGTAATTAAGGGAAAAATATTGGTAGTATAAAAAAATATTTTAAATAAAAAAAATTTTTGCCGGGATATTTAAAATTTAAATTTTAGAAAAAATCTTGGCCTTATGTATGGACAAACACAATACTGACCTTGTCAGGAGAACCGGCGTCAAGTTTATTCAGACAGGATACGACGTGTGCCATATCAAGCCAGGGACGATCGTTAGGGGTGACTTGGTGAAAAACGTAGTCTCTAAATAACTTCAACATATACCGATCGCCAGTCTCGGCCCATGTTAATTCCATATTAAGCTCTGGCCTTTCGTTGATAGTCGCGAGTTTCACCAGTAACCTGAACAGCCGACCATTCTCGAGCTCTTTAGCCAGCTCGTTCTCATGGACGTCAGCGCGCTGCTGGACAGCGTCCAATTGAGTGTAAAAACGTGCTCCGATCATCGGCATTAGATCCGTTACACTTTTTCGTGCTTGATCTGACAGCAAATATCTATTAAATCAATAAATTATTTTATTATTAGCTGATTGTTTATTAATAATGATAGAGATTTATTTTTAACGTTTCAGAGAGGCAAATTTATTATTTAATAAATAACTAACTAGCAACCTTGCGGTCACTATGTGACCGCCGTGACTTGTGAACTATGAATAAACAAAATTTTGCTTTATTGAATAATGAATTTTGTTAAACTGCACTGTACTTTTTTAAATATTGATGGTTTTAAAGATATAAGCTCATCCCGATGTTACAATCATCGAGAGCTTTCATTTGAGTACCCACATGCATTTTGATATATTTTTCATATATACATATATATAAATATATAAAATATATGAAAAATTGATGTGGGTACTTAAATGAAAGGTCTTGATGAGTGTAACATCGGGATGAGCTTATATCTTTAAAAATGTCAATAGTTCACGAAATACAAGGTCATTTATTATTTATTGATATTTTTAAAGATATAAGCTCATTCCGATGTTATACTCACCAAGAGCTTTTATTTGAGTACCCACATCAATTTTTCATATATTTTATATATTTATATATATTATATATATGAAAAATATATCAAAATGCATGTTGGTACTCAAATGAAAGCTCTTGGTGAGTATAACATCGGAATGAGCTTACATCTTTAAATAAGAAATGACCTTGTATCTCGTGAACTATTGACATTTTTCAAGATATAAGCTCAACCTGATGTTACACTCATTAAAAGCTTTCATTTGAGTACCCACATGCATTTTGATATATTTTTCATATATATAATACATATAAATATATAAAATATATGAAAAATTGATATGGGTACTCAAATGAAAGGTCTTGATGAGTGTAACATCGGGATGAGCTTATATCTTTAAAAATGTCAATAGTTGACGAGAGACAAGGTCATTTCTTAATTATGTATCTAGAGATAGAGATTATCATTTAAATACACTGACCAAAAATTTTTTCTTATTTTCTTAATAATATAGATTATTGATTATTAATTATTAATTAACTTACAGAATAAAATTACGGAGATCTGTTGAATAAGAACGTGCAACAAGTTCAAGTGACGCTTGAATATTATCACGATGGACGGCCAATAAACTGCGGCATGCTAATGCTAATACCAATTTTCCAAGAGCAATAAGATCTTCTTGCTGATAATGAAGAATAAGCGACAATGGGTTCGCTGCGTTACCGTCGAATGTCACGACATCGGGTACTGCTGCGCAACTTAAACGCAAACGATTTCGTGATGTCAGTAAAACTTTTGTTGGATCTAAACATCGATACGCTACTCCTGTAATTTAAATTTATAATTCAACATTTTTAATTTACATTTTTAAGATTTTAGATAAAATTTAAATTAATCTGGAAATTTTTGAATGTTTTTTTCTTCCAAAAAACATACCACCAGAATGTATAACTCGTAATGCAGCAGTTAGTTGTATTATATAACTCCAAATAACGCTCTCCGGGAGCATGCTGGAGTGTTGTTGCCGTAATATTGTATTTTTCGTATGACTGTATGGCCGTGGGGCATTAGGGTCCGAACAGAACGGATCAGCGTATCCGTTTAACTCTGTCCCTGAGAAATGTTTGCTGAGAAGTGTCTCGGCGCCAGGATGATAGTCGTACACAAATACGATAGCTGTAATTTATTTGATAACTTGTTAATATCAAGTTGATCTAGATCAATTTAAGTTCATTGAGATTGACGTTTTTTATACTCACAATTATCGCCAAATGCTTTTGTTGTAAAAACTTCGAGAAGTTGAACCACGTTTGTGTGAGATATGCGCTTCCACATGTCTACTAGTACCATACATTTTGTATTGCCAAGTCGAAAATCTGTAATTAATTTTTTTTTTTTTATTATTTATTTTTTGTAAATTATAAATTATTTGAAAAAATTTTTTTTATCAATGAATCATCAAGAAAATTTTTTTTCACTTACTAAATTATCAAAAAAAAATTTATAATGAATTAATTATGAAAAAAAAAATTTTTTACAATCAATAAATTATCACAAAAAATTTATAATGGATTAATTGTAAAAAAAAATTTTTTTAATTATAAATATAATTAAAAATTACCATGGACACGACGTAGACAATAACGAACTCCATTTTTCAAGCTAGTAGCTTTATAGGTAGAAGTTTGGTACCCCAACACAGTTGAAGCAGGTTTATGAATCGGCTCCAATGGACAAAGTTCGTGGTAATTATCAACCTCCGTTGGCAAGTCGGGAAATTGTGCTGGATCGGGTTGGCTTAACGTCAGCGAATTTTTTTGGAGGATATCCATACGTAGATTGGTGCTCATAAAAAAACTCGAATTTACTTGGGGAGGTGGTGGCGTGGACGGTGCTGATGTACTGTTTGCTGCTGGTACTTTTATTGGTTTCGTTGCTTGAAGGTGTCCTGGTGTATTTGGATAAACATATCCTACCTGACTGTTGCCGATCTGTAATCACGTTAATAAATTAGCGTTCAGTAAGCATATAAAAATCTTGACTATTTAAATATGTAGAAAATAAATGATACTGAAATTAGACATCTAAAAATTTTGTGTCCAGGATAGTCATATGATAAAATGACGTTATATCTCGTGAACTATTGACATTTTTAAAGATATAAGCTCATCCCGATGTTACACTCATCAAGACCTTTCATTTGAGTACCCACATCAATTTTTCATATATTTTATACATTTATATATATATATGTATATATGAAAAATATATCAAAAATACATGTGGGTACTCAAATGAAAGCTCTTGATGAGTATAACATCGGAATGAGCTTATATCTTAAAATATCAATAATAAGAAATGACCTTGTATCTCGTTCTGTAATCACGTTAATAAATTAGCGTTCAGTAAGCATATAAAAATCTTGACTATTTAAAATATGTAGAAAATAAATGATACTGAAATTAGACATCTAAAAATTTTGTGTCCAGGATAGTCATATGATAAAATGACGTTATATCTCGTGAACTATTGACATTTTTAAAGATATAAGCTCATCCCGATGTTACACTCATCAAGACCTTTCATTTGAGTACCCACATCAATTTTTCATATATTTTATACATTTATATATATATATGTATATATGAAAAATATATCAAAAATACATGTGGGTACTCAAATGAAAGCTCTTGATGAGTATAACATCGGAATGAGCTTATATCTTTAAAAATATCAATAAATAAGAAATGACCTTGTATCTCGTGAACTATTGACATTTTTAAAGATATAAGCTCATCCCGATGTTACACTCATCAAGACCTTTCATTTGAGTACCCACATCAATTTTTCATATATTTTATATATTTATATATATGTATATATGTAAAATGTATGTGGGTACTCAAATGAAAGCTCTTGACTAGTATAACATCGGAATGAGCTTATATTTTTAAAAATATTAATAATTAAGTAAGTACAGTGCAATTTAACAATTCATTATTTAATAAAGCAAAATTTTATTTATTTATAGTTCACAATTCACATAGTGACTTCAAGGTTACTAGTTTTTATTAAAAAAAAAAAACATTTTTAATAATTGCACTTGAAATTTTTTTAAATTTCTACATGTGAAACTTTTTTTATTTCAATTTTATAAAAAATTTTTAGATGTCTAAATTTAGTATGTAATTTTTTTTAGTTGCTCCAAAATTAATTACAGTAAAATCGTTTTCACTAAATCCAGATTAGATATTTAAAATAAAAAAAATCTTACGACTTCATTTCCATCATCAGCAACATTGTCAGCAGTATTATTAACATAAAAATACGTCGTTCCTCCGACATTCTCCTGGGAATGATATGAATTAGCAAAAAGATTCGGTGAGCTGCTGGTGCTACCAGCTAACCCACGTCCTGGCAAAAACTCTGGACTCGCTGTAGCTTTTTTACTCGACTCCAGAGACAAGTTAGACAGATGTTTCGTCACAACATTGGCATTAAGTGTCGTAGCTGGGCTTTGGCGGTTCTAAATATTTACAATATTAATATTTAAATTTCGACAAAAACATTTAAAATAAACCTTAAAAAAAAAATAATTACCATATAAGTAGCAAGCTTGGACTCCAACGGGACGACATTCGCCTGCGGTGAGTAAGTAACAAACATTGATGGATCCATATTGTAACATCTACATTTACCAATTTATCAACTCACTTCTCCAGCTCCTATAAAAATAAATTAATTAATCACAATAATAATAACAATAATAAAAAAAATAATAATATAATTAATTATTAATATCTTGTCAATAAAAAGATGGTCAGAGTGAATCATAAAACAAGTAAATATAGATTGAAGTAAAGTTATAAAAAGTACGTTATTGAAGTAACAGCAATGGCAGCTGATTTTGACAATACCCCAGTAAGGAAAAAACCAAGTCACAGATGACCTTGACAGTTGAATTGAGAATTGGCACTTGGTATAATACTTTTCACGTCATGAAAATTATCAGTTTTAAAATAGAGTAAACTGGAAAGAAATTCACACATTTAATCAAAATTTTTTTTATAATAATTAATTAATAAAAATTATTGAAAAAATTAATTAGCAGATAGCTACGCGACAAAATTTATAAGGTACGCCGTCAACATAACCCATGAATCTGTCAGTGACGTCGCGTCATTAATAGGCGCGAAAATCTCTCAAAAAACGCGGGTTTAATGACATTTTATAAATAAATATTATCCACACATATGTCTTACATAATAAATCAACATATTTAACGGGTTAAGTACACGATTTTAAGTAGATTTTATATTTGTTATCGAGACAAAGAATCTTCTGACCAGCAATTACAACTTATAACCCATCCAGTGTTTATGGTGTTCTCCCTTCTCTTTTCTTTCATAGTCTCTAAACTTCTAACCTCTCACTCTGCTCACCACACTTATATTTACTCTTCTCCGTTTATTTTATATTTTCTTTTACTTACTTGTTTACGTATTTATCTTTCTCTTTTTTATTTATATATATGCCAAGTACTCTATAGGTACATATTTTCTTTGTGCTTCGATCCAGTCCACCGCTTTGTTTCATGTGCTTCCGGTTTTACGGACACAACGTCGTCGCGTTTAGTCACTTTTTCACGCGCGGTATTTTTCAAACAAACTAAAATTTTACAATTTATTTTTTTTAGAGTAATTAAATTTTTTTTTAGCAAAAAATTTATCTTTGAAAAATAATAAGAAATTTTTGTAATTCTACTCACTTTTTTTTTTGTAATTTTTTATTTTTTTATATTCACACAATAATTTTTATTTCTTATCAATTTTTAAATAAAATAATTGATTTATCTCACGCATAAATTAATTAATATTTTCATTCACTTTATTATTTAACCTTAATCGGAAAATAAATAAATTAATATTCAACTGGAAATAGAATAAATATTTTATCCGCAAGGTGGCGCGTCAGTACTCCTACACGGCTGTCGCGTAAATAATGCATTTAAAACTTCCAGAGCATTCGATTCACGCACACGATTCTTGAAGCTTAGTCGGTGCTGTATTTTTGTTGTTTAAAATAATATTTACTGCAATTTTTAATTATCAAGCGACAAAATGATCATCCCAGTTCGTTGTTTCACTTGTGGAAAAGTTATTGGAAATAAATGGGAGGCTTATCTGGGTCTTTTGCAAGCTGAGTATACTGAAGGGTAAAATTATAACCTTAAATATTAAATATTATTATGAAATTCCATGCTTTGAAATTTTTTTTTTTTTTTTTTCAATAAAACACTAAAATTAAAAGACATTTTTTAGATTTTATAACAAGTAAATTGTAATTAAAAAAATTCTACAACTAGATATTTAAAATAATTATGACATTTATTAATGACATTAAAAATAGCAGTCAATTAACCTTTTCTTAATTGTTTTTAAAAAATAAACTTTTTCCAAAAAAATGTTTTTTAAAAATTGTATTTTTTATTTTTTTTAATTTCTACATGTCAATTTTTTTTTTCTACTTTTTTTTTGTCATAATTTGTCTGTTAAAATTGTCAAAAATCTGCTGAATTACTTAATTTTCATCATTTATTAGCCAATCACTTGATCATTTTTTAATTTTTTTTCAACAAAAAAATTTATTCCAAAAAATTATTTTTAATCAATTACATTTTTCATTTTTACATGTCAATTTCTTTTAACATAATTTATTTGCTACAAAAATGATTAAAATTTAATAAATGTCTGCTAAATTAATTTCAATATTTTTATTTACAATTTGTAATAAAAATTTATAATACTAAAGTTAGCCGACGTTTTTAATTTTTTTTTAATAATTAAATTAGAACAAAAAAATTGTTTTTTTTTAATTGCACTTACAGTTTTTGGAGTTTTTTACAAATGATAATTATTTTTTTTATTTTTCTGTAATCATTTTATTAAAAAGAAATATTCTAAAAATTTTTAAATGTCGACTAACTTAATTTTCATTAAAAATTTCTAAAATTGTCAGATTTCACTATCATTTTTTACTTGACATTTATTATTTCTTTATAAAACTAAACATACACATTTTTTTTAATTATTAATTTAAATATGAGTTATTATTTTTATTAATTTTATTTTAAATTATTTTTGACAGTGATGCATTGGACTCTCTGGGACTAAAACGCTACTGCTGTCGCAGAATGCTTCTCGGCCACGTGGATTTGATCGAGAAATTACTTAACTACGCTCCACTTGAAAAATAAACACTTCTATTATTCCGACATGTAAATAATTACTTATAAGCTTACTTTAGAAAAAAAAAATATAATAAAACTAAAAAAAAATTTTTTCTTACATTATATCATGGGAAATTTATTTCAATAAAAAAACAAAAATTTACTAGCATGATTATTTTATTTAACTTATTTTAAATGCAAGTATTATTATACAGTTTATAATCTCATTAAAATTTAATTTAACAATATTGGCGTATAATCATTTTGTAAAAACGCTTATTTACAAAATAGATTATTTAATTTAAAGATCAGAATTTATGATTTATTTCATTGACTAATTTATAAATACTTTATACAAGGCACTTAATTTTGGCGAGATATTGCACTTACAATTTACCTAATTTTTCTAATAGCCTCTGTAAATTGGACAAATACATTAAGTACAGTTCAATTAATTAAGGTCGAAGTATTTTCATATAAATTATTTAAAGCGTCAACTGTATAAAAATTCAAGTCTTGAAAATGACATCAATAAATATAACAATATTGTCAATTTATCGCTAAAAAAAAAAAAGTTTTTATAACTAACAATAAATTTATAATTAAAAAAAAACAATTGTACATCACCATAGCCAGCAAAAATCAATTAATATAAATTATGAAGATTAATTAAAATATGTAATAGTAATTACTTAATAACGAAACTAATAACTAAGGTCATTTTTGGACAGCGCCACTTATTTTATACTTAATTAAATGATTTTGAGATATCTTATTATAATTTAAACTTAAAAAAAAATACCTTCGATGGTTAATTTCGAACCAAATATAAGCCCGATAATGATAAAATGAACATGATATTTTTATAAAACTAAAGTTAGCAGACATCTGTCATTTTTTGGACTTTAACAAAAAATAAATTAATATTAAAAAAATTTTTTTTTACAATAATAAATTTTATCTCTAAAATTTTTTAAAATAATTTACTTGTTAAAAAAAATCCTAGAAATCATATGTCATCTAAAACTTCAGGGTAATTATGCAGAAGTGAGGTTCCACCTATTTTTGAGTGTAAAAAATCGAAAAATTGATCTTTCTGAATATTTTTTTTTCATATTGTTCTTCACGGCAGATTTATAATAAAAATGATAAAAAGTATGGAAATTAAATATTTTGATGGTTTTTTTTTTTGTTTTTTCTATTTAAAAATTAAAAATTTAAGATTTTAGATGTTTTTCAATGAAATAGTGACCATGCAATTTTTTCCGGTCATTAAAATATTTTTTCTTAAAGAGCGACAAAAATAGAAGAAATAAAAAAAAAAAAATTCAGAATATCATAATTTGAAATTGAAAATCTTTAAACTTTTAAATGAAAAGAAAAAACATCAAAATATTTAATTTTCATATTTTTTATCATCAATCCGCTGTTAAGAACAATTAAAAAAAAATCAATTTTTTGATTTTTTATGTTATTGCACTTTTTTCTAAAATAGGTGGAGCCCCACTGCTGCATAATTACCAGCTTCAGCGTCATATATTTCAATCCTAATATCAAAATCTAAATGTAATTTAAATGAACAAATTTTAAAACATTTCTTTGGCGATACTTTGAATAGCAGAGGTGGTACCGAGAATCAGCGCGGTAATTCCAATCAAGGTGACGAAAATATTTTTGTAAATCATCCAATTGAAGCGACCGAACCCGACATTCCAGTAAGTGATCATTTCAATGCCCACTGGAGCAAGAAGTCCAAGCAACGAGAAGCAGAATGCACCTACAAGTTCAACAAGCGGTCCGATTTTGGGGATAGCTATAGCTAGGAGGACACAGATGGTGACCATGATAGTGCGCATGGTGTACTCAGCAAGCCGAGGTCTCTTGGGGAAGCGTTCCTTCAACATGGTCCAGCCAATGTCGATGCAAACGTAGAATTGGAGCCCGAAGGTGAAGAAAACAGCGAGCCCGATTAATACTTTTACGACCTGGGCTGGTACCAAGTAGATGGGGAGATTCGAGGTGACCACCGCTTTTACGGCTTCTCCGTACCTCAAAAATCCGAGGAACCCGAGGAGGATGTAGATGAGAGTCACGAAGGACATTCCTCTGTTAAGTACTCCGCAAATTCCTACAAAGTTCTGGGGTGTCTTCATGTTGTTCTCCAGAGGCATTATCACTCCAATGGCTTCCATGGCGAAGATCGTCACTCCGAAGAACTGGGGGAAGTCTCCGATCGGCCTGGTCAGCACCTCGGGGGTTATTGAAGGCAGCCCGTCGACCAGGTAGTAGAAAGTTATCGCCAGTCCGCAACCCATGAACAAGTTTGCTACCATCGAGAACGGCGCAAGGTACTTCAGGTCCGGCACGTAGACCAGCAATGTCAGCGGGATGAATAGTCCGGCTACCAATGTTCGCATAAAGTTGTCACTTAGTTCCATCTTTGGATCTATCGGGATTCCTGCATGCTGGTCCATGTAATACTTTATTACCTGGCCGAAGTTTTCGGCTATTATGCAAGCGTACGCGCTGCAAGTTCCGAAATATGTTATCAGCAGACATATTTGGATGGTGTACCTGGAGATTAAGAATTTTTTTTTTTTAAGCTAGTTCTTTCCCAATCTATAGTATAATTTTCAGAATTTAATGAATAAGTTTGTAATATTTAAAACTGAGTGGTAATAAGTCACTACAACATCCCTGGTTAAAAAAAAAAAAGAATTCAAAATGATTTAAAATGTTAATTTTTTATAAAAGAAGAAATCAAAAAGTATTAAAAATATTCTAAAGAATTAAAATTTGACTTTTAAGGTAACTAAAAATAGATATTAAAAATTTTTTTTTTAAACATTCAAGTACAAATTTATCTTTAAGGTAGTTCTTTCCCAACCTATAGTTTATTCTACTGCTGTATTTTTCATTCGCTAGTGTCGCTTCTTTTACGGGCTTTTGGTTACTTACTTCCACTTATGACTTTATTTGTTTACTTTACTAGTTTATCAATGATTTTTCAAAAACTATGTGATAGGGAATTCCAGAATATTTTAGGGTAATTAAACATGTATTAATCTAAGTAATATTAGTTTTTCGTGAAATTCTTGAAATTTCTTCAATACAAAAATAATAAAACTTCGCGGTTTTCTCCCTGTTTTTCCATACCGCCTGTGTAAAAATGGCATTTTCAATTGTAATTATCTTTGGTTACAGGTGGTAAATCGTCTTCAAATTTTAACAGCATGTGCACTATGCATTTAATTACTTATATTATAAATTTGGAAGATTTCTTAAAATTTTGCTCGCACGACCCAATTATCTTAAAGAAGAGAAAAAAAAAATTACCTGGAAAATTTAGAAAATTTACGTCCCCATTTTGGTCCAGTAGCAAATGCATTTTCCGCAATATCAGCAAACCCCATTTTCGTTCTGTGCGTTTTGTGATATAGTACATGGGCGCATTTTACCTGGAAATCAATAACAAAAGGTCAGTAATTTTTACATACATTTTTTTTTAATTATATTTAATAAATAGAATTAATTTTTCGGTAACTAATATTTATAATAATCTTTAATTAAAAATTAAAAAAAAATTTTTTTACCGATCTTATAAATTACTAAATATTAAAATCAATTATTTTAATAATTTATCAAGAATTTGAACAATTAAATTTGGTATATACTAATTACAAAAATTATGATCCATATTTACTAATTATTGGAAATTATTACAGTAAAAAAAAAATAAGAGGAATTTTCTTGATCAAAATAAATGATTTTAAAAAGATTGTCTTGATTTTTTAAAAATAATTTAATTCTTAAGCAATAATAAGCTAATCAATTTTTGCCCTCAAAACTCTGTAGGGAATGCAAAAAATAATTAAATCAATACACAATAATGATAAATTATTATTAATTATGTTTCCTTAATAAACAGAGTAAATTTTTCGCTAATTAATATTTATAATTATCTTTCATAAAAAATCAAAAAAAAAATTTTTATCAATTCAATAAATAATTAATTATAAATATAAATAATTTGAATAATTTATTCTCGAGGCCGCGAGTGACCTCTGACTAATTAATAATTAATAACAGAAAGTAATTAAAAAAATTTACCAAGATATACGAGCAGTGAGTGCAAATAAGTGAGACGAAAATAGTTCCAAAGATACCGCCAATCAATCCAGAGCTTTTGAAGGCATAGGGCATAGCCAGAGTTCCAGTACCCAAAGCTGCCTTCAATAAATGTGTCAACGTATCGCAATCTCTATATAAAAAAAAAAAAAAAAAAAAAAAAAAAAAAAAAAAAAATTATCAATAGTAAATAGTAAATAATTTATAATTTTTTTTCAATGCTTATAATACTTACGTAGTTGGATTGTCAACTTTCCGCTCAGTAAAGGGATTGAAACTTTTGTGATCGGTTAATGGAACTGCGACCTCCGGGTCTTTGGCTACGACCTGCACTTTATATCTGCCAGACAAAAGATTTATTATTATTACTGATAGCGCGATCAATCGATTCATCATTTAAATTTATTTCCTACTAAGTACTGAGACTTTACAAAGTAACAATAATTTTTTACTTAAAGATAATGTTAATGCTTTTTTTTTTTTTTTTTTGAACATTAATTATAACGCGGGAGGATTAATTGTAACAAATATCAATCAATGTACTTTTACAGTTTAACAATTATCAATTATTTCAATAAACTATGCAATTATTGCGCAATAGATACGCATATCTACGTGCAGTTAACTAGCACGATACTCCACTCTATCCTTGTTCTACATTTGTATATTCAGCATTTAGAAAATATACGGTATTGAATTAACAGAAGAGAATTTTTGTTTAAAATAAATTGCTGACAGCTAAATTCTTCTAAATGTTATTTGAGTCATCTAATTAGATAAATGACAACCGGGAAATTAAGAATTAACTCATTTATAAATTATAAGCTGCGAAACTACATCAAAAGTACCTACGACAATTATTATTATTAGTACTATTATTAATATTATTAAATTATTAATGCTGCGTACTTATTTGTTAATGCCTCATCCTGAGGTAAAAACGTGTGCATCTCTGTCGGCGTTTTGTTCGTGCTCTCAACCTGGAACCAAGCCAAAAAATATTAATAAAATATTTTTGATGATATTTAATTATTGTAACTTGTTTTAAAAATTTAAAGACCTTTTTTATATTAATAAAAAAATTAGTAACCTTGCAGTCACTATGTGACTTGTGAACTATAAATAAATAAAATTTTGCTTTACCAAATAATGACTTTTGTCAAATTTCTCTGTACTTTTTTAATTACTGACATTTTTAAAGATATAAGCTCATCCCGAGGTTACAATCATCAAGACCTTTAATTTGAGTACCCACATACATTTTGATATATTTCTCATATATTTATATATATATAAATATATAAAATATATGAAAAATTGATGTGGGTACTCAAATGAAAGGTCTCGATGAGTGTAATGTCAGGGTGAGCTTATATATTTAAAAATGTCACTAGTTCACGAGATACAAAGTCATTTCTTAATTATTGATATTTTTGAAGATATAAGCTCATCCTGATGTTACACTCATCGAGAGCTTTCATTTGAGTACCCACATGCATTTTTGATATATTTTTCATATATACATATATATATAAGCAGTCATATATACAAATATATATAAATATATGAAAAAATGATGTGGGTACTTAAATGAGAGGTCTTGATGAGTATAACATCGGAATGAGCTTATATCATTGAAAATGTCAATAGTTCACAAGATACAAGGTCATTTCTTAATTGTTGATATTTTCAAAGATATAACCTCATCCCGATGTTACACTCATCAAGAGCTTTCATTTGAACACCCACATGCATTTTGATATATTTTTCATATATACATATATATGTAAATATATGAAATATATGAAAAATTGATGTGGGTACTTAAATGAAAGGTCTTGATGAGTATAACATCGGAATGAGCTTATATCATTAAAAATGTCAATAGTTCACAAGATACAAGGTAATTTCTTATTTATGTATCTAGAGATAGAGCATTTTCGAATGCAGCCTAAATACATAAAAATCTATTTTATCATATAAATACACTTGCCACAAAATTTTGCTTATTCTCTTAATAACATAGATTATTTTTAATAAGAAAAAAAATTTTGAATCAAAAAATTTCTTTTTAAGAGTTTAATAAAAATTGTCAATTTTTCTTTTTTAAGTCTAAATAAGGCGCGCAGTAGCCTATCGGATCCGGCCCTTGCTACCAAAGCATTGGACCGGGTTCGAGTCCGGCGTACACCAATGAATATTTTCAATATTTAAGTGTATTATACTGCTCAGCCCAAGAAATAAAACGAGTTCCAATCTCAAAAGTTTACCCCCTACCGTAGTCGCTCATGACCTTAGTAGTTTATGCGACTTTAAACAAATTAAGAAAAAAAAAAAAAGTCTAAATAAATTTTATTTAATTTAATAATTTTTTATTGATCTAAAATTAATAAACTAATAAAAAATAATTTATTCAGTTAAAACAAAAATTTATTCAATTAAACTTTAATATTAATATTATTTTTAAAGGTCATTTAATTTTTATATAACAAAAATAATAATTTTTTGGCACTCACCATTTTGCAGTGTTTGATTATAATTAAAATCTCTCAAAAATTTCCACTGCAAGCAGAAAAAAAAATCATTAAAACACATAACATTTACATTTTGACATCTCATTTATATTTCAATAAATATTTATATTATTATCCATTTAATTAAAGTATCAAACTAATAATTAATGACACTTAACATTGAAAGAATACGAGTGTTACAATGAATGATAACAAGAATTAATTCCGATACATAATTATCTAAAACAAACTTTGTCCGATAATTTATATTATTCCGTGACAGTCACCGCAATTTATCCAGCCGCAAAAACCTACATAAAATTACATAATTACCAGGCTATGTATAATATTAAACATCCTTAACTTTTTCACACACAATGTTTGTACATAAAATCAAAAACAATACATTGATAATTTATCTCTTATTTTCTAATCAGCGTTTCATTTTTTACAATTGTTGCAAACAATTATAATCAGTATCACTTTTATTGTTTAAAAACATAAATACATTTGTAAATCACGATTTGTAACAAACCGGACACGCAAGAAGATAAGATTATAAAATTAATATTTTTTTTTTTTATTTTCAATAGGTGAATAAATGTTTGCCAATATCGTTATATAGTAATGAGGCAATTGTTTGAACAAATAATTAACAATTAAATGAAAAAATTCAACCGCCGGAATTAAATGGCTCTAATTTATATTTTACGATTATGATTCAATTAAGTGGAAAGCCTTGAATGAAATTTAATATTTGAGCAATTGCTCTTTCTTCTTTTAATACCAAACCTAATTATTCTCTATTTATAGTCGCCCACACATTTTTCTCCAATTCACGCTAATCTATAATTCTTAAAAGCTAACCATTTTTACATACTTGACTAATTTTTTATTTTTAACACGTTAATTTATTTTAATACTAAAATTTTTAATTAAAATTAAATTTTAAAAAATTGCACTATAATTTTTCAAGTTTGTTTTTACAAATAAAAATTTTTTTTTTAATAAAAAAAATTTTTAAATGTCAACTAACTTAATTTTCATTAATATACCTTGTCACTATTTTATATTTATTTAAAAAACTTACACCGATGTGAAGAAATCAGGTCATTAGTATTTAAACAAAATAATATTAAAACAGGTTTTTGTGAAGAAATTTTAGCTTCATTTCTTCAAGCAAATAATCTGATAAAGTAAATTTTTTATATACATTTATCAAAAAACTATTTGTTTTTATCAACTAAGTTATCTATTGATCAATTTAACAATTAGTTACAAAATTATTTTCAAGGAAAATTAGTGATAATATTTATAAATACATTCATTTCATCTACGCCGAGAAAGTAAATATTTTTTTGGCCTGAAGATAATAATTTTTTTTTTCAATTTTTATACAATTGCTAAAAAAATTTTGAACTTCAAAAATAATATTTATCTAAAATAATAATTAATAATTTTAATAAAAATAATTTTTATTAATATTTATCTAAAATTTTAATAAATCAAATTTATTTAAATTTCTTCAATTATTTTAACAATAATTATTAGGTATAATTTAATAAAATAATTTTGATTAATATTTATCAAAAATTTTAATAAATAAAATTTATTTAAATTTCTATGAAAATGAAGTTAGTGACATTTCAAAGTTTTTATAAATTTTTTATTGAAAAAATTTCAATTAAACAATTAAAAAAAAAATTGTCACCTGTAAAAAACTTGAAAAACTATAAGTGCAATTTTTTAGAAATATCTTTTTTGTTGTAATTTAATTAATAAGAAAAGTCTAAAAATTTCTTCAACTATTTTAACAATAATTAATAATTTTTATTAATATTTATCTAAAATTTTAATGAATCAAAATTATTTAAATTTCTTCAATTATATTAATAATAATTAATAATTTTAATAAAAATAATTTTTATTAATATTTATCTAAAATTTTAATAAATCAAATTTATTTAAATTTCTTCAATTATTTTAACAATAATTAATAATTTTAATAAAAATACTAAAAAATTAGAACTTCTTCAATTGTTTTAAATATTTACCTTACAAAAATAACAACAATATCTTCTTAAAAAAATGACTTTATCACTAAAAAATTTGGTAATTACCGCAAGTAGAAAACTGATAAAAAAAGTTATCACAAAAAATAATTGACTCCGATAATTAGATGTCAAGCCAAAGTTTACCCGATAAGCTCCCTAAGGTAGTAATTAATTTAATCAGAATATTTCTTCCCGACAGATAAAGACCTGGTGAAATTTAGCAACTGAAATATCAGCAAGTATTACATCATGCTACCAAGACGGTGGTGCTTGATTTCAGTCGCATAGATGTCTAGCACACATATTTAAATGCAGATATAACAGTACTTGCTCCTTCAACCGTGCGACTGAATCTTAAAACTAATTTTGTATTCTGTACTATTTCCCCAGTATATATTTATACTGTGTACTATGTATTTATATACACATATGTAAAAGTATCGTGTTCATTGCACTCTTTTATGACGCCATCATATACATATGTATGTATGTCTTTTTAAAATATCCACGTGGTCAAAGCCGCTGCATGAACAGACGGGCATGAGCAAAAGCATGTTAGAATCGGGCGAAACACGTGAAAGCTCGACACCAACTTGAAAATATTTATACCAAATATTAACAATTAAATCTGAAAATTTAAATTTTATTATAAACTATTTTTTTATTTTTTATTTTTACCTGAGACAAACTCGCTATAGCACATCACTTGCAACTGAAGTTATGTTAATTAAAATGTCTTGTTGCTAAAATACCGGCTGTGACTGTTCAGTATTTTATTGGAAAAATAAAAATAAACTTTTATTATAAATAAATGTCCAAGCCGACACACCGACACGCGTGTAATTATTTTAGTAGTCAGCTGCCAGATGTAGAAGATTCTATCCTAGGTACGCGTACGTGGCAAGAATTAAATACGGACTGATCAACCGGTTTAATAACACACGATATAAGATCGTCCCCTTTCCCGCCTTTGCCCACACTTACTACACTTTCATAACCTCACATTATCTACCCCACTCATTATTTTTAGCTTTTATACTCCCACTTATGCTCCAAAAGTTAGACTGAGCATTTCAGAACTACAGTTTAAGTTCATACTCCCCACTTGTTTAATTATCAATTGTTATAATATTATTTTGTTCTTTCTTCTTTTAATTTTAATCATACGCGGGATTTTTTAATTCTTAAAGAGACTTTCGGTATTATTTCTTGGTAAGTTTTTTATTGGAATAATTATTTTTTTTTTATTTGTGATTCTTAAATTATAATTAAGTTAGCCGACATTTAAAAATTTTTATAATTTTTTTAATTGAACTAGTGCTAAAAAAAAATTTTTAAAACTATAAGTGCAATTTTTAAATAAATATTTTTTAGTTCTAATTTAAAAAAAGAAACAAAATCAAAAAATCAAAAATGTCGGCTTGTTTTTGAATTATTATAAAAATTTTTTTAATTGACAGCTATCAGCTGACTTCATTTCAGTTTCATTGAATTTAATTATAATTCTAAGAAGATTAATTGAATAAACGATTCAATAAATTATAAGTTAATAAAAAATTTTTAAATGCGTGGGAGTCATTTTTAAAATAAATTAACTTTTATAAATATCTGTTAATAAAATATTTATATAAATTAATTTCATCAAGCAGTCCACGCTTTTTTTAAAAATAAAAATTCTAAAAATTTTTAAATGCCGGCTAACTGAAATTAGCTGACAACTTTCAATTTTTTCAATTTTCGTAATAAATAAATTACAATGAAAAAGAGAATTCTAAAAATTTTCACTAATATTTTCTTTTTATTTTCACTTGTGGAATTAAAAAAAAAATTTTTTTTTTCATAATAATTTAATTGCTAAAAAATTTCTGTCAGTAAACTTCAGTATTATGTAAAATTGATCAATTTTTGGTTTTTTATTATTAGTTATTCTCATGATTTTGGTTAAAATACTAAAATAAAATAATTAAACTAAATAAAATTACAAAAAAAAGTTTTTTAATTAAAACTTATTTTATTTCTTCAATTAAAAAATTATGGATATAATATTAACTTATAAAATTAACTAAGAAGCGATATATAACACAACCTTAATTAAAATGTAATAAATAAATGAAAATTAATTTAGTAGATATATATTGAATAATTTTTAGAACTTTTGTTAACAAATAAATTATGGCAAAAAAATAAGAAAAAAAAAATTGACATGTAGAAATTTTAAAAAATTAAAAATCCAATTTTTTAAAAATAATTTATTAGAATTAATTTAATTGTTAAATAAAATTAAAAATTGGTTAAGTGACAGCTAACTTTAATGTCATATTAAAGAATAATGAAATTTTTTTTTTTAATATTTCTTCTTTTCAATATTTTTGAATTTCTTCATAAAAAATTAGTATTGTGTTAATTTCTTCTTTCTAAAAAAGTATGTTACAGTCAGCCATAAAAAAAAAATGTATTAGTATGAATATAAATCCCTGAAAAAATATATTTATTTTATTTTTACAAAATCTAATCCGAAAATAAAAATAATATTTATGAAAACTGACTTAGTTCGCTCCCTGGCGGTTTCGGCAACACAGTGAAAGCACAGTCGATTGACGGTTGTTTCACAGTCGTTTCACCGTATAAAGTCCGTTGTTACCGAGCGAGTTGTCAGTCTACATTGGATACAGTTGTGAACGATATTCACTGTGAATTAAGTTAACAGAATATATAAGGTGCAAACGCAAGTGAATCTACGATGTTATGACCGACACCGTACGCTCAATATACTGTCGAAATACGGTGATTTTACGCTACTGTCACGGACAATAAAATAAAACAAAATACTTCGAGCAGTCTAGACCGGGACTCGAATCCATTTCATCTGGTCGCGCGCCCGAATCTATACCAGTTAGGCTATCTGCGACGTTGCACGTAA